AAGCATAGTGTAGAATCATACATCACTGCGTTATTCCTGTACATCTTTTATTAAATTGCTGCCAAATTGTTTCAATCGCCTGTTTCTGTGCCTCCAGTATGATGAGCACTTGACCCAGTTGGAGAAGGACATCTCTACCGCTAAAGAGGCCGCTCTAGATGCAGCCGACTTGGAGTGTCTGGACCCAATGACTCCGGGGCCGTACACACCGCAGGTAGGAGAGCATTCAGGGCCCAGTTTTGTTTTACTTGCTCGGTAAATGGTGGTTTCCTGGGTATCTTGTTACCTCGACAAAAGACTTAAGGCCTCCACCTGTGTGTAAAGTGCCACTTCAGGTAGTCTGAACGTTTCTCCGTGCCGTTTAGTCTCCTTTCCACTCCTTGTAGTTCTCCTAGCCCTTGTATTCCTTCACTCGTTCTCTGCACTAACTCTCCTTTCCAGACTTTCACGTTTCATCTTTCTACTCTAGTTTCTTCACCGTAGTGTCTCTTTTCTCCCACCCTGTTTTTCTCCTTCGTTCCTGCCGTCTTGCCCCCGTCTCTCCCTTTGTGTGTGCGCGCCGCTCTGTGTGGCGTTGGCCAGCCGGCTGATCTGTTTGACAGCGGGGCCTCAGGGAGTCTGCCCAGAGAGACCAGCAGCCTTTTCTCTGAGGGACCTCTAGTGGTTGCTCCAGAGAAGAGAGGGGGGCAGGTACGGAGAGAGACAGAAATAAGGCTCGCAACCACATGCCACCTCTCCTCAAACTACCCTCAGAGCACCCAGCTAGATCACAGGCTTCTGTTGTACCTCAAGTTAAAGTTGTTCCTCACACCAGACAATCACAGATAACATTACAGCATAAAAGTGAGTGTAGTTATTTTGCTTCTTGGCTCTGTCTTTTGGCAAGAGATGTCAAGACTTTTATCGTACTGCCCCCTCAGGGTCGCCACGGCAGAAGACCCGGGGAGGAAGAGTCAGATGTGGACATTGAAGGCTTTGAGGAGGAGGATGATGATGGCAAACCCAAAACTCCTGCTCCTGTAAGAAAGACAGATTTATGAAAAAGATTATTAGATGATTGTGAGGTCACTGCGGCTGTGCATTTATGCACAGATGAAAACTAGTACCAACTAGCGAACACAACGGCACGACCAATTTCAGGTCATGCCATTGTGTGGCCTAAAATTCTCATTTTACAAACTTTAAGAACATACTTACGATTCTCCTGTTTTCTTGATTTTAGTTGGATGGCCTGGTTGCGTTGAAGTGGGGTGTTCTTTTAATTCATCGTGGATTTATTTAATCCTCACACTGTTTTATAAGAAACAGTTGTCAAATCTTTCCACACCTTTATCTTCTCAAACATTCTCCTGTACTATTTGATTGTACAATTCTTTGTAATGTTTGTTGTTCCATATTTGTAATTTTATGTATTGTGTACTTCTTACTTAGTTAACTATGACAAATCTTGTCTGTCCTGTCTTTGTAGGCAGAGGATGCGGATGGAGACCTAGAGGATGAAGATGATGAGGAGGACATGCTGCTGCCGCCTCGCAGACGGATGCACGACCAGGAGGAGGAGGAGGAAGAGGAAGAGGACGGAATATCTAACCGCCCACCTCAAGCCAGCGTGCTGTACCAGGACCTGCTCATGTCTGACGGAGAGGACGACGCCAGTGAAGAGGAGGGCGACAACCCTTTCTCCTGTAAGTCCAGCTGCAGGGATGCGGTCGGCTGCAGAAAATGTTCACAGCTACACATAAGAATGAAGCAATATATACCAAAAAATAAGCAAAAGGATTCACATCAACACAAGAAGATGTTAAGAAGAATGCATGAATGTAGAATACAAGATGACAGCATTATTGTGCTGCAAATATTCACTTAATGGCAAAAACATTGTAAAATGTGTAAATCTGATGTTCTTTCTATGTGATATAACTGACAGTGAGCAAACATTGATCATTAGTCTTTTGTGTTGTGTGTCCCCTCCAGCCATACAACTGTCGGAGAGTGGTAGCGACTCTGACAGAGAACTGGATGTACGACCTGCACCTCCACAGAGAGTGCAAGAGACGGCCCGCATGGGCATGGAGCAAGACGAGAGCATGATGTCATATGAAGTGGAAGGGCCTGATGAGCCTCACATGGAAGACAGCAACATCAGGTACAACTGGCCCAGGAGCCAATATACTATATATATTTATATAAAGCTTCTTTCTCACTAGACAAAAACACCCATTAACATCCATAATGAAACCGCAATGGTGCCTCGCCGATCGTCAGAGAACATCATTCATTCAAACTCAACAGAAACAAAATATAAGTCTCCAGCAATCACCAACTCTGGTTGGAGAGTTCGAAAGAAGTTTTCAGTCCTGGTGGTACCAGAAAATGCAGTTTAAATACTACAGCAAATATTCCTTGAGCAGCTACACAGACCCATTCATCAGTAGATTGTACTTAATGTGAAGCCGCAGCAGCAGGAAATCATCCCATTGTATTAGCAGTGACTTGATAGAGCTTTAATACGCCGTTAAGAGTGGAACAGTAAACAATGAGGCTGACATCAATGAGAAAAAAGAAAACACAAACCGTGAGGCTGGATTGCAATTATTGTTTCCTATGAATCCCAAATGTGTAGGTAGGTGATTTGTATCCAGCGTGTGAATCACAGACTCCACCACTAACAATAAAACTACTCTAGAGAGAGTTAATTATAGAATGTAAATATATTGAATGGCTGTTGCTTAAAAATGCCCAAAACAGGATTTGATGTTGTAACTTAAAACACATTCTGGGCTTCCTGTTTGACTTCCCTCTCTTCTGTCTCAGTTACGGTAGCTACGAGGAGACCGAGAGCCGGAGTCAGTTGCAGCCCATTAGCATGGGAAACGGAGAAGACTACGCCATCAGCGAGGAAGAGGAGGAAGATGAGGAAGATGAAGCACGGCGGAGAGGCCCAGCTGTTCTCTCCAAGGTCCAGCTCAGTGAAGACGAGGAGAGCGAAGAATTCCGATCTATAGGGGGAGACAGCGACATGGACTCTGACATCTAGTTCAATTTTCTTTTTTTATCCACAGTATTTAGAAAACATTGTTAATAATCTCAGTTTTAAAATGCAAAAGGAAAACATATTGTACATAGTTATTTTGTAAATGACTGTTAATGCTTAAAGCTCTGTTGTGACACACAGCACATTGTAAATCTCAGTTTGCCTTTTATATGTTGAATCAAGTACCGCGATGTTTTTTGACATGGAAGTATGTGTACAGATGTTTTGTACTGTTTTAACTCATGCATATCCTGCACTCATAAGTAGTTCAGCAAGTCTGCCTTCCCTATCCCACTTCCTGATTGAAAAATAGAATAAACACCCTGAATGATAACAGACAGCTCTTTCTTTAAAACAAACAACATAAAATCATATAGTTAGAGATCATAAAACATGTTTTTCTTTCTCTGTTGAGATTTACCATCGGTGAGAAGATTAGTTTATTAAAACATGAAAGCAAATTGAAACAGATGCTTTGTGTGCAGGTGAGCTAACAAACTACGATTAAAGATTAGAGGTTAAAACATGACTGCGTTGGGTATTTAGGATTTTTATTGAGTTTGGTTTGTGGTTGAAAATCATGCCCAATATTCTGACATGACATCACAGGACAAAGCACAGGTGTACGTAATAGTGTAATGAGTGGCTGCATTTCATTTAGATGAACAGTGATGTTATTGGGTACACACGAGCTTTTCTTGTGCTGATTATCATCACTTTCTTATAAACTAATAGCAAACGGTAAGTGTAGCAGATGTTTCTTTTCCAGTGTTTTCATGAGTTTGAAGTAGTTTTATGGATCACTGAATCAATTCATAATCAAAACTCAAACATGTTCATAAACATTATGAACAGCAGAGGGTACTCAAACACCAAACTGCACTGCTGGTATACAGACTATCAAATCTCTGTTGTAATAGTATTCTGCACTGAACACATTTGAGTATTATAAGTTACAAGTTGTCACATGTATCATCTGAACTAACCCACTCTGATTTCTTTACCAATTCCCCTGAATAAACATCTGTACAATGACATCATTGAACATTTCATTTGTGCTGCATGTTAATGGATCTCATTCAGGCACAAATAGCAGACGAAAGATCAAAGAAAGCTGAACAAATACGGACTTTTGATGGGTTTGCTATGAATCAAAGAAAGGTTTATGACTACAGCAAAGTGAACAGCATGTCACATCAACACGTGATGCTGAATGTGTAATTAGGAAGGAACCAAACACACACCTCTGTCTTTTTCTTAGTAACGAGCACGCTTCCTATTGTGCAGAAGTCACCTGTTTCGTTTTATTTTTATGATGGCAAACTGCACACTTCCTGTTGTGACAACAGCCTATTCTGCAAGCCACCGCTGTGAAGCAAAGTTTTGACTGCACTTCCACATTCAAATCAGCAATCGAAATCTGCAAAAGTCACTTTTATGACCCACACTGTTAATCTTTGAGTTCTCAAATTGTGCCAATATGCTTGCAAAGCTACTGGCGTCTTATGATTGCTGATAGTACAGAGAATTAATTTTCACTCCCATTATTTCAGAGTATCTCAGATGGGTGGATTTGTCTGCACAACAGGCAAAGATCTCCTGACATTTTTACATTCTTCAACATTTACAATAGTCAACATTACTTTTTGTTCAAGCACTGTCGCAGGTGCTCTTGGCAATTTAAATTCCAGCCCTGCAGGATCTGTCAGGTGTTGCCCACAGCTACACATTCTGCCGTCTTAATCTGCAATCTGTTTCAGACGATGATGATTCAGATCCCAGCCCATCTGATCAGCCTTCGCCCAGAGGAACATGCCTTGCTATAAACGACTCTGATAAAGACATTAATCACAATTTAAAGCTATTTATAGGATTATGCGGGCAAGTGAATATGCCATAAAATGTCTTAATGTTTTAATTCTAGCAGATCATTATAGTACTATCACAAATTCACTGGTGACACATTTCACCTTTGAGTGAAAGGAACATTTCTGCCCCAAGCTACGCTGGTTGATCGGTCAGTTGAGGCAAAAACACGTCCATGAACAGGCAGGTACCCCTTAGCCGGGTGAGGGATCCTGCTGGGGCTGAGGGACTGAGACCTCAGCACGGCCGTGGTCCTGTCGGAGGAGACTCTCACTGAGTTCAACAACCTGTTGTGGTTCATGGGCGCTGCAGATTGTGATGGAGACCAGCAAGTCGACCCATTATTGACAGATGATGCTCCTGAGAAAACAATTTAGGATCAATTTGTACTTCTAGCACTGACATATAAGGTGTTCAAATTATAATTTTCTTGGTATTCTCTTTTTGTTTAATGTTAGGAAACAGACCGGATGGTGGGTAAGGGACTGGGTCAGCAGATTGGCAGTCGTCAGTGTCTAGACTTCGGCTGTTCCTAACAGCCTGGAGGGAGCGGAGGCTGGTCCTCATGGGCGACCTGGTCCTGCCTGGTGATGTTGCTGCAAAACACATCAGGGTCATGTCCAGTTCACACACACAATTTTAATTGCAAGTACTGTTGATGTGCTGCTAATTAAAAAAAAACAACTTTTACATTTAATATCATGTGTTTGAAAGTGATTTATCTATTTCTACTGACGAACAGAAAGTTCACTCTTCCTCACATTATAAGATATAGATAAAACATAAATAAACGTATCATCAATGTCTGTAGCTGTCAGACCAAACACTACAGATAAAGTAGAAGAACTGCTGTGAACCTTGATTCTGAGCGAGTTTCAGCAGCTTGAACTGGGTGACTTGCTGGTGAAGTCTGGCCAGTTTGGGACTTTGGCAGCCCTGCTTAGCTGCTGATGTTGGTGACTGGCGAGGGGAAGAGCTCAGTGACGGTTGACCAGGCTGCCAACAAGAGGAGGATGAAGCCTCATTTGTATTTCCTGGAGTAAAGTCCCCAATACTTTCAACAGTGTTGTTAGAATAAGACGGAAACATCACTGAGGACTCGGGGCTTCTCCCGGCAGGCGTTGAAACATAGTCCTGTCTTAAACCTGAAAAACATGGACCACGGTTATCTCAATCCATCTTTCACTGAGCACTATGCAGTGTACACTGGATCATTGAAAACATTCCTCTCTACTCACTGGCTTCCTGTAGACGAGCCATAATGTGGACATCTGTGATGTTCTGCAGTCTGTAGCTTGTGGTTATGGAGTCATCTGTGCAGATTGATAAATATATAACAAGTGCTTCTAAATATCTGATATTAAAGATTTGTTTTAGGGGAGGGGGGTGAACATAAAGGTTGTCATAATGTAGAAGTTATTTGGCTTTAAGAAGTATATTTCTACAGGAAGTTGAGTAAAGCTTGCATTATCATATTACCTGGCCTGTCAGAGACATTGTGTGTTGTGCTGACAGATGTTTTGTCCGTAAAGGAGCCGATATTATGATGGAAAACTGCAGGAGCTCTGTAGAACTGACAGATTGATCCTGACAATACAGAGGGTGGGAGTTAGGGAAACCTGTGACCAAACCAATCACGCTCAGAGGAATCTGTGAGTGAGTCTGTGCTGCTTGCTTACTTTGATCCAGCCTATTTATAAGTGAGCGACAGGCCGCCTCCATCTCAGGACTGGGGTTATCCAGGACATGTCGGCACCATCTGAGAGCAGACTCACTTCTCTCCACAAACACCTGTTTCTTTGAAGACTCATACAACCTGTGAGGAACACTTCGCTCGCTATGAACATATCTCACGCCTGCACTATGGAAAGAACAGACGGAAATTCTTCTTTCTAGCCCAAAGTCACACTCTCAGACATTATTTCTGTGGATCTGATGGCACCTACCAGCTCTCTTCATCCCGCACATCGTCCTCTACATCAAGGAGCTCCACCGAGTCCAAAGCAGACTCTTCCTCCTCTGGCTCTTCCCTGTCCCAGAGGTCTTTTTGACAGTTATAGTTGTACAACATCCCATCTGTGGCACAGCAAGGCAAAAGTGAATTACACCCTGACTTCAAATTATTGAGTCTTATTCTAGCGTCCATGGCAAATGACCGACTGTTACAACTCTTGACTCTTGCTCGCTCTGCGTCTTTCCATATGCTGCAGTATGGATCTGAATTGTCCTCCAGCCTGACAGAGCTGCCTCTCAACTCACTGCAGAGAAGATGACGGTTTGCACTTGCGTCAAACCCCACTGGTGGCTGATTGGAAAAATACGAGCTCCAATCGCCTGTCAATTGGTTTTGGAGATCCATTTTTCTCAATGAAATCAATCCTCTTCTCACTTCTTCAAGCTCTCGTCCAGTTATGTTTCTATTCCGCCTCACTCCTCCATAATGAGAATGTTGGCTGGTGCCAAACTAGGATCCGATCAAAGTGGGCTAAATCTTCATCGTCAACAATGTGATTCTTTAAAGTTCCAACTATGGTCATTTTGCTCTGCACCAGCAGCAACAGTGTCGCTTCGCTACACTATCCATCGACCCAGATTTGTTGAGTAGGGCTGTTAAGTATAGACACCCAACAGATTGGATGGATTTAGAGAAGCATCAGGAGCTTATGTGGATTAAAGAGTCCACGAGTTGCTCCTAAGAAAGAAAAAGAGCCACTCAACATCACACCATCAAAACTATTGTGGACAACAGGCTATTAAAAAACCTTGGTTGAGTCATGTAAAATGTCTCCCTCTGTAGTGTTAATTGGTAGATTAGATGTGTTTTCTCCTCGATACGGCCCTGACTATATCAGTTTATGTTCATTTTGGTGGGAGGAGCTATTGTTTCCTGTGCAGCGGATCTCATATGAAATGCTATTGCTGAATGTCTGAGGTTGATTGTTCTCAAATGTGAGCCAACCTGACTCACTCATCACACCCAAGGAAGTCGTACTGAGAAGTGTGGTCAGAAATGTTTCTCTCTCTCTCTCTCACACACACACACACACACACACACACACACACACACACACACACACAAACAAGCAGATTAACACAAGATGTTGAGCTTCCCTTTCAGCCATGTGAAACCTAAAACTCTCCTCCTTTCTCGCCCACACCCCATCAAGTGCAATGCTGCTCTGGTTTTGTTTTGTTTTCAGTAACCACAAACATAAAGTTATATTGAATCCATTGACACTAAACTAACTGACTGCTGGACAACTGCAGAATGTTGAGCATCTATAAAGTTCATGTACTTTTCACACACGAAGTCTGGCATTTCAGGCGACTATTAAAGCAGCAAAATCATGAAACAATGGCACAGGGCAGAGGGAACAATTGTGCCTGATTAACTCAAGTGTTCATTCACCTACTGTTTAGAACTAATAATAATGGTCAAGAATGAACTTTTAGGTATAGCGTTATGTACCTGTTCATGACCTCAAAGTAGGTCTATTTTTAAAGTAACATTATACCTGGTAGAATACTAATGTTGTTGATTCTGTTGGTGGTGTGACCCAGGGTCCATAAAGATTTCCTACTATTACATACTTTTATGATACAACAAAACATTACACTTAATATTATTTTCATAATAAAATGTATGATTTAGTTTCAAAATAAATGGAAGACAGCCCTCCTAAACATGTCTGAGTCAACTCTGTCGTCATCTCACACAAAGCAACGCAGGTAAGGGAGGAGGTGTCTCCTCACCCTCCCTCCCTGCCTGCTCGTGCTGCACTTGCGCCCTGCCTCCCCCGACATTCACCGCCTCTAGTGTCCTCGCCGCCCACCGGCCTGCTTCCTCATCTCGTCATCGCTGACGTCTCCCTGCCGGGCAAACACCGACTGTACTTCTTAAACTGCCACTAAAGAAACCACAGCATCATGGAGCGCTTCTCAGAGGACTCCCCCTTGTAAAACACAAAAAGAATGGATTAACGAGTGGCAAATAAACCAGTAAAGTAAAGTACTGCCCGGGCCGGCCGGGAGAAATGCAGGACGAAAACGGAAAAGCGGCGCTCGGGAGCCCCGCTGTACACAGTGCGGCCACAGCGCAGGTAGGAGCGGAGGTCCTCAAAAAACATATCAACTCTGTGTGTATTAAGACTCGTCTCGTGTTTGACTGTGGGACTCCATTGCGGGGGAATCTATGTTACCCTCCAGGGGTCCTATAGGGGTGTAGGTTACAGGTCGTCTCAGGGCAGGTAAGGTGTATTTAGAATAAGAAGCGGTCCAACCAGTCCGCCCACATCGCGCGCTCACCTTTCAGGCTAGTCTTCCTGCACCGATACAGTCACACTGTAGACTGTACTCAGCAGCAGATGTGTTTGCCCAGACTCTTCTCAAGTCTTTACACAACAGACACACTTGCATTTAACACTATAAGGCATGTTGGCATTCTGGATTTGAGTTTTCTCTCGGGCTTTGTGCCAATTAGATTTATAATGCTGACCCAAACCTCATTGGCAGTATTTGCGTTCCTCCTACAAGATTCAGGAGTTTGTCATTTTTTATTTTATTTATTTTTTGCAATTATAGAAAGTCCTCAGTAAAAGGAATTTTTCATTTTTTTTTTTTTTTTTAGAGCTGCAACGATCAGTTGTTTAATGAGTTAGTAGGGATGCAACAATCTGACTTTTTCCAGTCCCGATACCGATGGCGATACCTGGGCTTTGGGCCTCGGATCGGCTGGTGTTTAATCAATAAACTGTGTCCCTCACTGTGTGGAAGTGACTGAATAATTACTATATGTAAGGCATCAGGCTTGACGTAAACATTGCTTTCCTAATATAACAAATAATCAATGAATTGAATTCAAATTCCAGTTTATAATCTGTATATTATTCAAACATATCAGTGAATTGATTGGCCCCATTGTCACCGATACCCGATCCAGCTGTTTGCGTCAGTATCGGCCTGATTGGTTTTGGTGCATCCCTATTGGTTAGTTAATATACAGAAAAGTAATAACCAACAATTTATATCATCGATTAATTGTTGCAGTTGTTTTTCAAGCATTAGTACCAAACATTATAGTTCCAGCTTCTCAAATAAGTACAAGTCTGTGTTATATGTTTTGTAAGCTGTTTAGCACAGCCTTTGATGCTGTTCGTTGAATCATATTCAGCCCTCTTGGTTTTCTCTTGTTACTGCAATTGATTTGACACATTCCTCCTTTAAGTCATCTTGTCAACACAACTGCATGATGCAGCATTTTAACTTCCTGTGTCCTACTTTGATGTCTCTATGCCTCCATATGTCACACATGTTAACATTTTCTTTTTGTGCATTTGAAAAATTGGGATAGAAACAAATCTCAGAAAGACATCACAACTTGGATGACTAAAAACGTATGCATTACTTTTGATGAAACTATGGTTATTGTATTTGTGTCATTGGCGTAATTGATTAACTATCTGTAAACACTTAACAATGATGGTAACAGCACATAAAGCAGAAGTCCAGCCGTTATCTGTCAATCAGACTTCCTCCCTGAGTCCTGACATAAGAAAATAGTTCCTCTCTTCTTTAGAGATGGACGACCTGCGGGAAGGAAGAGGAAGAAGTAATCTAGTTGATGTCATACTTACATTCTAACCAGTAAATGTTTGGTGTTTTTACTTGGTAATGTACTCAAACAATAATAAATCATTCAAATCCTCATTGATTCATTTCCCGTTGCTTGATTTATTTTATTTACTCTAGAATTCAGTCCACTTGAACGGGTATACCGTCACTGAAAATGGCCACAACGCGACAGCTACGCCTTCACCTCAGCCAGAGTGTGACTCCAGAGCCCCGAGTCCTGTTCACGCTCCAGTGATTATCCCGAGGGAGCAGTGGGGAGGGAAGTACGAGTTCCTGCTCTCCTGTATCGGGTACTGCGTGGGACTGGGCAACGTGTGGCGGTTCCCGTACCTTTGTTATCGCAATGGAGGAGGTGAGCAGTCTACAAGCACGTTCACTGCCCTCTGAAGTCTCAAATGCTTTAAATTCCGTATGTCTGTAATGATTTGTTACACCCATTTAGGCAAGAGGCCCTCTCTGCCCTGCCCTTGGGTGTGCACTGTCTTCCTAATCATGCCGGCCAACTTTCCACACTCAGTCTAGAGCTCTCCATGGCAGCCCAAAACATTTGCTAATCCTTCAGGTTTTCCTAGATTACACCCCAGACACAGGGTCCGCCTGTCTAACCCAGCCCAGTGCGCTGTGCATCCCTTTCTGAAACATGTTGGAGCTTGACTAACAGTAAAGCTGAATAACATCGGCCTGTGAAGCGCCACCTAGACGGATGGTGTTGTTAGCGAACCTGCCTCTACAGCCCGTCTTATATGTTGCTGCACTAAACAAGCCATTGCTGTGGATGTCTCCCCAAGCACCGCCCTTCCTCAACCTGCCGTATTTTGTATTCTTTCGCAGGCGTGTTTCTCATCCCCTACTTCATTATGCTGTTCGTCACGGGTGTTCCACTGTTCCTCATGGAGCTAAGTTTAGGCCAGTACGGAGCGGCCGGCCCCATCACTGTGTGGAAATGCTGCCCTCTGCTCAAAGGTAACACCCCTCCTGTATCATCATGCTTTTGAACCCATGTATTCACCCCACTTACAGACGCTGTAATTCAGTGGCACAACCTTGAAGCCTTTTGGAGATAATCATGTCATGGTGGTGACTCGATGTAATTAGTAAGATGGTGTTAAATGTAATAGAAATATTGCATCACAGTTCTACATTAACTATCCTGGAATCTTGATCCTCCAGTTTGAAGTGAGCAGGATCTCAAGTTGACGTCAATATGCCCGTGACACCAGTCAGCTCAGGCTAACGTATAGTCAAGGAAAATAACTGGCTGAGTCACATCACGTCATCGCCTCACTAAAATGCATCATGTGGCCCTAACAATGCCTGAGAGCTCTGCAGCTGCTAAAGATAGACATCTGATAAAGAACTCTCTTAGAACCAGAAATAGTGCCAGAAAGTTTTTTTTTATCATAAGCAGTATTTTTATTTTCAACTGGAAGGAGTGATACACTCTGAGGTGTTCATTAAATATATATTTTTTTGTTTCTTCTACCACTTTATACAACAGGGGCTTCATAGCTACATGTATACTGAAACGGTATCCTTACATGAGAGTGCATATCCATATTTTTTCTGAGATATTAAAGGCTGCGTCTCTCCCTGTAGGTATTGGCATTGGGATGCTCTGTGTGTCCACGCTGGTGTGTCTATACTATAACATCATTATAGCGTGGACGTTTTACTACCTGGCCAGCTCGCTCCAGAGCCCTCTGCCCTGGTCCTGTGACGCTGTAGTCAATGTGGGTCTCTGTGGAAACGCCACCACAGGTAACAGCTCCACCGGTCACAGACTCAGCCCCACAGAAAAATTCTGGAAGTAAGTTCTTATTTGTGGAAAAGCCTCCTCTACAGGTTTATGCAAGCTGTTGTGAAACAAATGACCCATGCAGCTTCATGTTTATTTATATGTAGTGTTATTTTATATTTCACATTTGTCCACTGCTTTTTGACAGAGTTGTAAATAGCTCTAGCATGCTGTGTACACGCCCTGATCAAATACTACAAACACACGTGTTCTTTACAATGAATGGACTCTTTCAAACTGGTTATTTTGTCACCTTTTCAGCTGTTAGTACTCAGGACTTTGCAGCAACCCCCTATATGATGCCTGGAAATATACTGTATTTCATCACACAGTCATAACACCTACACTGTATATATATTTCAAACTTCCAATTTGCCAATTTAAATCCTTGTGTTTTTATAACAACAGTTGTCAGGCCTTATGACCTTAATAGTTAAGTATCACAGTTACTCCTCATATCTCTGAATACATTTAGCAGCCACAGTACCTCAAAGGTCTGTTTCAAGTAAAGGTAAGGGTCTATTGATGTATGGCAAACAAACCAAATGGTTCATACAGAGGCAAGGTACAATATCTAGGGCAGTTTGTTGACCCCATCAGATGTAGCGGCACAAAGAGAACAGAAACCACAGGCTTGTTGGTAGAGCATCTCAAGTGAATTGCGTTTGAATGCTTCTAACGACAGAAATACCTGACTTCATGGCTATCCCTCTCCTCCCCTCATAGTGTATCATAGTCCGTAAAGCACTGTGTAATACATGACGGTGTTCATGAATATATATGTAGAAATCTGCCAAGTAATGGATAATATAGAGTGCTATGAACAATGGTCTTTTTCTTCAGACAGATGCCTTCACTCCCACTCAGTTATTAATAAGTCCAGCTTAACGACCGGGCCCTGTTCACTGCGCGTCAGTCAATGCGTTACAATGTGTGGCAATAGGTATGGTAAGAGGTGTGCTGTTTTACATGTTTGTGCTTGACTTGTGTGTCTTGCAGCGAGCAGGTGCTGGGTGTGGTAAACAGCGAGGGCCTCCACGACCCGGGCCCTGTCCGGTGGCAGCTGGCCCTGTGCCTCCTGGCTGCCTGGGTCATCATCTTCCTGTGTATACTGAAGGGCATCCGCAGCTCTGGCAAGGTGAATCAACACAAAGTTGTTATTGTCAGCTCCCACAAAACACACACTCACACACACACACACACACACACACGATCCTGCCCTTTTGCTGCCATATCGTGTCTAATGTGTCTGTGCTGTCTGTGTTTTCAGGTGGTTTATGTAACGGCTACCTTCCCGTACGTTGTGCTCATTGTTTTGATCATCAGAGGTGCTACACTGGAGGGCTCTCTTCAGGGCATTGCCTTCTACCTCACACCAGACTGGAGCCGATTAGCCAACGCACAGGTACTTCTGATGGTAGACGGGCACATATGAGGCTGAACAGTGACAAGGATTTGTTTATAAAGAACTAGATATTTTCGTTGTTTAACGCATATTTCTGTCTGATGCATTGCAGGTGTGGAATGACGCGGCCTCACAGGTCTTTTACTCCTTAGGTATTGGCGTTGGAGGGCTGCTTTCTATGGCCTCCTACAATAAGTTTGACAACAATGTCATCAGGTGAGTTTGTACTCTGACGTACCATTTGCTCTGTTGTTGCGGTCATGACGGGTTCAGTCTCTTAATTGTGGTTCGTTCGACTTTCAGGGACACTTTGATTATCACCGGAGGAAACTGCGGCACCAGCTTCTTTGCAGGTTTTGCCATATTCTCAATCCTGGGTCACATGGCATGGAAGAAGGGAGTGCCCGTCGGGGAGGTGGCAGATTCAGGTAGTTAATTACTTAAAATAATTTCATGCATTTTGTATTAAACTTCTGTGTTACGCATATATCGCCTGCTTGACCTTGATGTATTCCTATTTGCCGTCAGGTCCTGGGTTGGCCTTCGTTGCTTACCCAGAGGCCCTTGCTCTGCTGCCAGGCTCTGTGTTCTGGTCCATTATGTTCTTCCTCATGCTCTTTATGCTGGGGATCGACACGCTGGTAAGGCCACATACCACACGCAAAGACATTAGCAGAAATAAAGATGTACGAGTCCCCGTATGTTTCAAACCTTCTGCTCTGCTGCTTTCACAGTTTGGCAACATGGAGGGCATCACTACGGCTGTGCTGGATGAGTTCCCGCACCTCAGAGCAAACATGCTGCACAAGTCTTTGTTCTTGGCCGCTCTGTGTTTTTGCTTCTACCTAATGGGTCTCCTGTTAGTGACTAATGTGAGTGTGCTACGCTGGAGTAAGTGATGCATGAAGCTTTAAATGCATCTTCTCTGTGATGCCTCTCCCAATTCACCTTTGCTGTCTGTGTCTTCATAGGGAGGGATTTATTGGTTCACTCTCATTGACTCCTTCAGCACTAGTTTCGGCCTCATCATCATCACCCTCTTCATGTGCATTGGCATCTCCTTCTTCTACGGTAGCCCATCACACACCACGAACCTTCTCATCAAACACCTCTAACACCACATCATCGCTCCGAGTGCCCTTCTATTCTTTTATTTATTGTATCAGTGTCCACCATTTTGTCAACACATTGAACACATGATCCGTTATGCTCTGTTGTCCTGATGATATCTTCCAGGGTTCCTAACACGCAACTCTTAATGAACATTTCTGTTAGGAATCAACCAGTTCTGTCAGGACATCATTGATATGATCTGCCCCTGCCCTGGCTGGTGCATCAAAGTGCTGTTTTACTTCAAAGCATGCTGGGTTTTCTTCACTCCATTTCTTCTGCTGGTGAGTAAGCGCATGAGTATTAATTGTGATATTTGTTGGTAGTAGATGCAGGAACAATGTGACATCCACATTGGTTATCCATGATTAGTATGACAAATGCTTTTCACAATCTATCTATTAAGACATCATAAATGCAGTTGGCGTATTGTGTTATCTGATCTCTATTTCTAAAATCCAAATGCACTGACATTAATAGGTTTTGTATAACATTTTCAAAATCAAGGTTCTTTTGCTAAAGTAAGAATTATGACTAAATCAAAGCGATGACCTTTACTAAAGCTCATATTCTAGCCTTACTGTATTGTTGGTTTGCGTCAGTTGCGCAATCCATGTTACGTCACTCCCTCTAATATTTCTGCCGCTCTAGAAGCAGGATTACCATTTACAGCAATGCTACTTGATATAGAAATACCTTTTTGATGCAACCTATAAATGTACTGTATTGTTTCACTCACAGTCAACGAGTAATTTGATAAGGGGTGAGACCCTGTGCTGTAAAAACATCCCATTAAATGACTAAAGAGTTTATCGTTAACACAGTTACGATAACTCAATTACCAACTGCTACAAAAGTTCCACCAAGAAAACTTAAATAGCATCACTACGTTGAAATGAAGCCAACTGTGCTGGAATCTCCACAATAGCAGTTGTGAATAATTCAAGAGGAGAAACTGACATTCAATCTGAGTCGCCCCCCCCCCCCCCCCCCCCCCCCTCTGTAGCATTTCTCTGTTGGCCTTCTCATTCACTCTTCTGCTGCCATTGTGGCTTTTTTGTTTGGATGACAACATTCCTCTGCTCACCCTGTGCCTTTTCCCCTTGCGGCTGTAGTTCATCCTTACCTACATCTTCATTGAGATGTACAACACATCACTCCACTACGGGTCCTATGTGTATCCACGCTGGGGTAAAGCGCTGGGAGTGTGCATGGGTGCGACCTGCTGCCTACAGATCCCCATCTGGGCCATTGTGGCCATCGGCAAGGAAACTGGAACACTGAAAGAGGTCCGTAGCAGCACTATGTCATTCTGTCACTGGGAGGTCCGGTTGCACCTCTGCCATGATCACACCTACTGTCACTGTCACTGCTTGTATCCGTTTAAACATACAGTGCAACGCTGGTAGGTGATGAAATGACCTGTGTTGGAGGGTTTATGACCGCCGTCTCTTGCCTCTCTTTTGCAGCGTTTCCAGAAATCGATTCGACCGCTGAACTCCTGGAGGGTGAACAACTTGAACAACAGCAATAGAGCAGAGGAGCACTTGGAGCCCGAGAGGGTGGAGGCTCCGTTCACCGTCACGCTCACGGATATGGACTTTACTGCGATGAACTGGGAGATGGGAAGCCAGCCGTGACAGCACAAAGAGCTGTGATGAACAAACTACGTTGTCAGGAGAAAGAAGAATTTATGATTTTTTATGTTATTGGCGCCAGCTAGGCTCTGGTTGCCGTGTCTGAACAGACTGTGTGTCCTGCAGGGCAGTGTGGATTTTTGCTTTATTTATACTATTATGTATGTTGGAATTATATTTTTGTAACTTTTGTTTTTACAATGTGTAGAATGTACGGTTACAACTGTAAAGTTTGGATCATCTTTATCTTAGATGGTATAATAGGACTCTATCAGGACATTTGGATGTAATGATCCTGAAGGGTATCTGTTGGTTATATTTATTATCATAGTAGCATTGTACAATGAATTTTCACTGACGGCAGTCAACAGCAGCTGGAGGGACCAGACATCATATCCTCATGTACAAAGAGGAGGGGCAAAAAAGTGCAGTGTCTCTGGACTGTTACCTTCAACAACCACGATGGACGTGGAAAGGTGACCACAAAACATGGGCCTGCCAGAATAAATGCTGCACCGAGTCAGGAATATTTTTAAAAAGGAATGATTAAAGGAACTATTAGGTACTGTCCATGCTTCCATACGCCTTCGCTGAACATCTGGATTTCAAATTGCCAGTTCCTGCAGAAAATGCAGCCATCGGTTGACTTTGTTGCTCAGGATACATCGATTTGATCACATTTAAAACTACCTTCTATGTTATTAATGTAGACAGGCTTTTAAGTGGGACTGTCTAGCTATCCTTTGTTTTCCTTCAAAAATAAATTGATGGAGTCAGTGAGTATCTACAGAAGGTTTTTGTTTTTTCTATGTTTACGGGAACTTGGCTTTGACAGTTCTTCATTGTCAATTTCCCCTCTGCTATAAGCACAAAGCCCTCCTTTAATCATTGTTTAGCATTGGTTACATGTATTACTTGGAGGGACACTCATTGGTTGAATGTATTACCCATTTCGAGGACATGATTATTGCCATTGTATCAATCTTTCTTACATTTCTCACAAGTTTCTGAAGGCGCAAATGTTACTCTGATTTGAGGACCTGCTTCCAGAAGAAATCAACATCAGATTAAATGTTATTTATTTTGCAAATTACCCAAACTATTTAATTTATAAATGTTATTAGACCCTATGTTAGAAAAGCCCAATGATATTAAACTTGGGACATAAAGAAAATAATATGATAAAAAGATAAGATAATCCTTTATTAGTCCCGCAGCGAGGAAATTTACAGGATTACAGCAGCATATAGTATAATGCAAATAAGACAAACAATATCAAAACAAGTATTATAGATAAGTAATGAAAATAATATGAAGAATTACAAAAACACCTCACCCAGATGAGACTTGGATCATCAGTTGCATGAAGGTGTTTATCTTTTGAAGTGTCACCAGATAAAACTGCTTTCTAGGGCATATGCGCTCTCTTTTGTGTCTTGTTGCAAATAAGTGGACGATGACTGACAAAAGAAACCTGTCGTATCTGCAATACCTGCATTTTTAAAACGCTTTCAGTCACATGGAACTTTTGATTTGTGTGTATTTATAATAAGCATCATTGTTTTCTCTCTCAGAGCTTATTTAAAGCAGGATCACTACTTTTAAACCTTCGATTAACATGTTAATATCCTTTGTTTTAGGATTGTATGATCACGCCATGAAACTCCTCTAATTTTAGTAAATCTCTTTGCCTTCATACACATTGTTGCCATTCTCTTGCATATTGATATGCACAATGATTAAATATTCCTTTTTTGTGACTTTTGGATATTTTTCTTTCAAAGATGTCTAATAAAAACTAGTTGTGAGATGATCGTATGACGTCAAGATCAGTTTTATTTATTTTACATTGAGTTTGCAGAGTTCCCTATATAATATTAGTTTTGAAACAATACACTAATGGTGATCATACGGTGGCCTGCTGGTGAAAGGATACAGACAACAAATACTCTCAGGGAAAAATTGGCTATTTTAAATGGAATTCAATTGAGGCAACAAAGAGGATGTTTTCTTTGTCTGTGACCCAAAGTGTGACCAAACCTTACAATTATTTGAAAAAAAAATAGTAACACTAGTGATTATTACCACAAGAGGGAAATGGTTGCACAAAGATTAAGGTGCAGAGTAGGCACATTTAATCCAATGTGTTTTAAAGAACTGATTGAAGCCTACTTGACAATGCTGATATGAATGTTCCCTTGATAAATGAAGAAAGTTAAAACATCAGTGCATAATAACATGTAGAAGGAAGTGAAAACAAACAACAAAATAAAATGGGGGCGCAGGGGCAGTAGAATAGACATGTACGTTCTACATCATCAAATAATAACTATACCTACATTTAATTAGCTGAAATTACCGCCTACTTTCCATTTACAGTATGGGTAGTGGTTATGGCGGGATAAATGCTAATGAGCGGATGTTGCGTAGATATTTTCCCGCGTTTTCATCTGGTGGGTTTGGGTTCGTTCGATTGCGGTGTGTCACGTGATCCATGTGAAAGGACACTCACAGGGAGTTTAAGAAAAGTATAACGCTATAACCCGGTTATCTAATAAAACTGTCGACAGTGCCCGGTTTAAACAGACTCATACGAGCATATACACTCAGTGGGCTGGTCAGTATACACGGAGTAGTAAACACTGACGGGTTGTGCGTCTAAAACCTGAGACTCTGGCGGCCCCGACACACCGCGGCGCACAGCTGTGAACAAAACGAACATCCACTTCAAAACGCTTTCAGGAAGTCAGTTAAGTTTTGTTGTATTGTTGCCACGGAGCTCCCGCACTGGGCTTTAAACTCAGAAAACCTCATCTACTGCCTTCAGAACATAATTCCCTTTTTAATAAATATATTACCTATAAGGTGACCGTGCACCAAGATGCCACCTAAGAAGCGCAACTCTCAGACACAGAGCAAGGAGGTGAAAAGTGCTGAAAGTGTCTCTCCAGACAAGAAGGAGGGTCCAGAGTTATCATTTAAAAAGTAAGACGTTATTTTTTGCCGCATTACAATCTCAGCAGTCAGTGAATTAACGTGTGTTGTTTGCTGTGTAACGTATGTTTACACTGAACCCCGGTGTTTAGCTAGTTTGAGCTAGTTTGCTAACGTTAGCTTGGCAAGTGGCTGACTAGCTAGCTTATTTGAACTAAGTCAGGCCTGTAACGTCATTTAGAGCTAATACTAGTGAGCTTTAACGTCTCGAGTACAACTAGCGTTATCTAGTCTCGTGTAGAATGAGCTGTAATGCTGTTACAACATGCATCTCTGAGTCTGACACACACGTTGGCTAACGGAGGAATTGTTTTGATGTCCTGTAAACGGTGCTGTGTTCTCCATGATGTTGACGTATGGCCTCCATCCTCCAGACACAGAGACAAGGATGCTGAGTTTGTGACCCTGTGTAAGAGCCTTCACGTGACGGACCTGGTGTGTGACCGTGCCTGGGCGCTGTGGAAAACCGTTCAAGAGTCTATGGATGAAATCGCTGTATGTATTTATAAGTTATGAGTCAGTTCATTTGCAATGTTGTGATCCTGTTGACTGTCCTGCTGGAACAAAGGAAATGGCATGAGTGGAAATTGAGAACACAAGTGTCTCTTTTTGAACACACCTCACTTTTCTCACTTCACTCTGTTTATACTGCCTGATCAAAATGAAATGCCCACTTTGGCATCCAGGCCACAACCATTGAAATGACCATGCCCTCACTCATTTTTTCAAAGGTGCAATGCATTTCTTTCAGATGCATTGCACATAATAAGCATTGTCACAAGAGAGATCTGTTATTATCTTTGTTAGTGTTGCCAACGTGCCAGTTTATACTGTTCTGGTGATGTGGCACAGTGTGTAGTGTGTGATGCTCTTGGCATGTGGTGGTTGGACAAAACGCTCTTTCTGCAATTCTTAAAGGGAAAAATCAAGCTTGTCTTTAGCAGACAGTCCAAATGCTATTTCAGTTTTATTTCTTACCTTCTGTGAAAGGACATTTAAACTATAACAAAGGTGGACAGAAGAACATACATGCCTTGTTATCTATTGGATTTATGTTTCAAATATAGTATTAGCGTTCCCTTCCAGGATAACAGTGATTCAAATAATATTGCATGTTGTATATAAATTGTAAACATTGTCTGTGGTTTTCATTTTATTTCAGGACAGTCAGAAAAGGGTCTGGGGGGCGTGTCTGTTTGTGTCGAGGACAGAGGTGGACGTCGCCTGTTTCACATTAACTCAGGTTCTGAAAGCAGTCCGTCTGAAGTGAGTACTGCTGATGCATGATGCACGTTATTGGCAAATACTCTCACACATCAATGCATGTGGTATGAGTCATTTGAACAGACATGGCTGCTCTTTGGACCATGGTTCATATACAAGCTTTGTTAGAAAGAAATTCAGATTTTATTTTATTGTTGAGTTCCATGCATTTTTATTTTCTATGTCTCACACGTATGAACTTGTTTTTTTGTAGTGTAAAGCAGTTTGTGTCTCTGGTGAGGAAGTTGGATGTGAACCTGGACACCATAAGCACCAAGGTGAACTCAGCACTCACACGACTGGAGAAGAAGTACGACGTGTCACTGGCTCTCTACCAGCGGTTTGAGAAGTGAGTGAACTCATCAACACAGCACAGGTTCTTCACTCACGTCGACCAGTTTAGGGCAAAATCATAATCGATGACAACATTTCTTTTGTTTCAGAACGTGCAAGAATATCTTTGCTTCGGCTTCTGATGATCAGTAAGTTGGAGACTTCTTTAACCACATGTGTGAAATGTGCCTGTCACTTGTTTTAGTGCTTGTTATAGAAGATAGGATGCAGCTTCATGACTAATGTTTCAGTGTCTCTTTTCCAAGGCAGAGGGAGACCATGCGGCGCTGCTGGACAATGTTTCTTTTAGCGAAAGGTAAGTTAAAGGATACATTTTGTTACATTTCAACCTGGACCCAAACTAACTGACTAATAGGGACAACACTTTCTGAAACTAGTCCAGTATTGAGCGAGAACACTTCAGATGGCAGCTGCTACTGGCCTTCAATGTAATCCTATTGGGGCAAGCTGGCGCAGTACTTTATGTCTATTAACAAACAGTGCTTGTTTTTGGCATTGCAGACATTTTCAGTGACAACATTATGAAAAGAGTCTCGCTCAAGGAGAAGTCTTGCGAGGTGGCGTGCTGCTGTTGGAGTTATTTAAAAGATTTTCAATCTCACGGCTAAATATTTAAAGTATTTCGACAACGTGGATGAAGACTTCTCCTATAGCGGGACTTTGATACAGTAACAAACAGACCGGATCAAGTGAAGGGACAGAAAAAAACTTTTATTTCTCTGTAGGGTCCATTACATGAAGTCGTCAGAAACTGAAAATAACAATCACGTTTAGTGTTCGTAACATTACGCTGATGCTGCTCACTTGCTCTTTATGCCTCGTTTTGCGGCGGCTGGTTTACAGCGTTGTCCCCCATCAGTCACTTGGACACAAAAACATGGGAAATAGGGTCCAGGTTAAAAAACAGCAAAGTTACACTTCGAGCCTTTAGACATATTAACAACAACAAGTAGGATCAAGCTGTTAACACACTTGATGGAACATATTCCATGTTACTCCATCTTCTACTTTCCATCCTTCCTTCCTCTGGTGCTCGGCCGTAGAGCTCAAATTAATGTTTTTCCTCACGGTTGCAGTTCAGTTGTTTCTGGTCTGCAACGGTGGTATTGTGAGGCTGCTTCTCATGTGCTGCGTCTCTGCTGCTTGCAGGAAGGGCCTTGCAGATGGAGGATGACCTGGTCATATCATTCCAGTTGCTGCTTTGTACGCTGGAGTTATTCATCAAGCGTTGTCCTCCAGACCTTCTGCAACCTCTTTACAGTAAGCTCCCGTGTCAAAGTTAGGATGCAAAAGTTTAAGCCAAGCCTGATTGTTGCCTTACACATAAAAAAACAATGATGAATGGAAACCGTTATCTCAATATTCTGTGCCATGAAAGGATTTATTGTGTGTGACTCTCAGAGATTTTCTAATTCCGTGACTGTTTGTCTCTCAGAATCAGCCATCAGCAAATTTCAGAGCCCTCCGACACGAACATCTCGCCGCAGCCAGAGCAAAGCCAAACCCCGTCCTCTGGAGCCAGAGGTGGATTTGCCGCTCCTCAAAACCTTGTGCAAAGACAACGAATGCAATGTAGAAGAGGTCTGAGCCCCCTTTTTGTTACAGTGCTTACAGTCATCGCACAAACACATTTTTTTGCCCTCTGCCCTTTTGTTTATTTGGCCTCATTTGTTTATGCAAACCGTATTTGCAGGTGAAGAACGTATACCAGACCAGCTTCTCTGCTTTCCTGGACTCACTGGATCTTTCCAGATCTCCAGACTTCCCTCAGGTAGGGGCGGACACCTGCTCTCCTGTTTGGCTTCACTGTCTGCACTTCACCCACTGTTTCCATTAGTTGCCTCTTCCTGCTTGCTATTCCTATTTTTGAATTTTTGAGTGTCTGACAGCTGTTGGTTGTTCCCTTTACTGCTCATGCATGTTTGGTTTCGCATACAAGGTGTCAGCGAAATGTGTGCTCAAGCAGAGGATCCATAGTGGTGTCTCAGGGTGGTATATTGCAGAGGCAGCTATGAAAACAGAGGACACAGGATGCTACTGTTTGCCGACACTGACACATGTTTCGAAGAAGGATACTAGACATATTTATTTTACCCGATTAAAGGACAGCTGGTGTTATGCATTATTTACAGAGGTGTCTTGTGTACATAATCTACTCAGTTAATTGATCTGACCTGTGAGGGGACTGGGGAAAAAAAACAAAAACGTATTACGTTAATTAGATTTTGGGCCTGAGTCTTAAACTGAATCTGCAGGAAAGTTGTAGCGTTGCTTCATTTCAGAGATGTTAATCTTTTTCAGATTGGGATGTGATTAGATACAGACAGGCTCTGGCACTGGTGACATAAACAGCTCATGTAGGAAGGGCACCATGCACTGCTTTTGTTTGAGTACAATTTAGCATTTAGCACTTTTGGATTAAGATCAGATTTGATGGAGAACTCTTCAGTCTCTGTTGAACATCCCTGCATGTACAGTTGTGTAAAGGAGGCACAATGGGTAACCTGTAATTTTCCTCACAGGCGAAAGACCTCAACCAACAATACGAAGAACACTACCTCAAGAGTAGAGACATCGATGGGCGGCTGTTTTTTGACGGAGATGAGACTATTCTTGCTCCTAAAGTCGAGATGTAATTTCCTCTTTTCTTCACAATTCAGTGTTTTGATGTCGGTCGGGCTAATCTGTTAAAAATAATGCACAGACAAGTGTTTTATAAGCTGCTCCTGTTTTCAGATCACAGGTGGAGAGAACCCCGAAGAAGAACCTGTCAGATGAAGACGCACTCATTCCTCCCCAGACTCCAATCAGGTGAGCAGTTACTCACCTGTTTATTGTTCACAATCATAACGGAGGAGAAGGACTCGGTACAACATTTCTCACCTGAGACTGTGTACACACTGTGGGCTGCTCAGCTGTCAACTGGTGCATTTGGAAGTTATTGAAGTGAATGATCGTAGTTTTTAAGGTCTGAAAAAAGTGTTTCGGATGAAAATTTGTTTTTTTTTTCCAGCTTTTTTTATATGCAAAGTACCCAAAAATTTAAATATAAAAACTAGAAGATGTACTACATTTGTCACAGTAGGAGTGACAAGATCAAGCTAAACCCACAGTTTTAAATAACTGTTTCCAAAATATAAAATACCACATCACCTATACAGATGATGTGAAATTCTTAATTGTGTTTTGTTTTGTCTCATCAGAGCTGCCATGACTTCCATTCAGCAGCTGAGGGGCGATCTCACCTCCAGTGGCGATCAGCCATCTACTAACCTGGCTATGTACTTCAAAGTAAGTCTCTACAAGTGTTGCTGCGGATTAAAATGTCCCATGAGAGTGCACCGTAGCACCTTAATTTGACGTATTTCCCGTTTTCCCTCTTTCTTGCGATCAGAACTGCACCGTGGACCCGACGCAGGATGTGCTGAAGCGTTTGGAGACACTCGGACAGGCGTTCAGCCGGCGGTTTGGGGAGGCGGTCGGCCCGCGCTGTGTCGTACTTGGTTGGCAGGTATGAACGAACACCGAAGAAGACGACGAGCAACAATGGCGATACTCACTCTGCTCATATTGTGTCTGACTTGTATATTTCTTTTGTCTTTCAGAGATTCAAACTCGGTGTCAGACTGTATTACAAAATCATGGAGGCAATGCTGAAATCGGTACTTGTTAGATTATTTATTTATTTTTCAACAGTTTTATTCAATGATGTCACATTTTTTTATTTATAAACTCTGGATTATTTAAACGTAACAGTAAATACATCAAAATATCTGAATAGGAAGCAACTCTCATGAACTGTAGATGCCATAAACCTCTGAAATAACTCACTCATGTGGTTTTACTTCCCAATTTGTAGGAAGAGAAGCGACTGTCTGTACAAAATTTCAGGTATGTTGTTTTTTTCAGTTTTCATTCATTTTAATCACAGTTTAGTCAGTCAATGGTGTTGTTGTATTTACTTGTGCGTGCTGTTTGTTGTTTTAATTGTAAGGGAAACTTAAATTAGTAGTGAAGTGTGATTTGCTGTCAGCTAAGTCATGTGATTTCCATTCCAGTAAACTCCTCAATGACTCCACATTCCACACGTCACTGTTGGCCTGCGCTTTGGAGGTGGTGATGGCGACGTATGGAGGTGTGTCCTGTAATTTTCTTAGGAGTTAATAACAGACGCAGTCACAAACTAACTCTGAAATAACTGTTTTATTTACAGTCGTCCGTTATACAGGTCAACACTTCCTGTAGATGTGCAGTAAGTTGTTATAATGCTGTTGTCTCCTCCTGATCAGAGAGCAGTTTTAAGACCGGAGGATACAACCACAGTGGTGCCGGTGACCCAGTTGAAACCGACTTGTGCTTCCCCTGGATACTGGATGTGGTCGAGCTGCCCGCCTTTGACTTCTACAAAGTCATCGAGAGTTTCATCAAGGCCGAGCCCACTCTGAGCAAAGACATCGTCAAACACCTGGAGACCTGCGAGAACCTCATCATGGAGAGAATCGCCTGGAGGACGGTCAGTTTTATCTCTCATCGCTACGACAGTGTGCCGGTACTAGTGTCACGGCACGTCAAAGAGGTTCATGCATACACAACATAACAACTCACAGACACTAAAAATACACACGTTCTATAGCACGAGAAAAAAGATCAGCAGTTTTTTTGATGTAGTAATTATTACGACAGTTACATATATGATATATAAGATCAACATATAAACTACTCAATAATGTAAAACAACACGTTTTTGACCGTAACTCAAGAATGCACATGCTAATTATGACAATTTCCCACAAATGTCTAAGAGGATAAAGTGATGACATTTGGGACAGACATGAATATAAACTGCAACTTGATTGGTTGACTGAGGCTGTAGTTCTAGTCCTAAAAGGAGGCAGGTTCCTCACAAATTCATATAAATAAATGTCATTTCAATATTTCACAAACACATTGAAGTTGTACTGATGAATTATACTGAACAAAATGATTAAGCGGACAGTGTGCTTCTTAGCATGGTGCTGAACCCCTGGCTGGTGCGCTAAAATTAACAATAATACAGATAACTTATTTACACATGCGGAGTTCTCTTCAGTTTAACTTTCAAAGAAGTGCGCACAGTATGGGTTATGGGATACTGTATATGAATATACAAAGTCCTGGTCAATTGTATGGAATTTGTTCCATGAAGTAGTCCAGTGCTCTTAATATAATGATAAAGAAACAATCCGTGTCACTGGCTGCCACTGCCTCTACTACCGGGCGCCTCCCTGTGCACCAGGCTGCTGGAGAAGTAGTAGACGAGCGGGTTGAGGCAGCAATTGGAGCTCGCTAGCGATAACACCACGGGGTGCACCGCCTTGGTCACCTTGGCCAGGCCACAGTGGTGCAGCAGCCCCACGTGTGTGAGGGTGTATCCCAGCAGGTTGATGTGATAGGGGACGAAGCACAGCAGGAAGATGCCTAACACCCAGTAGATAATTGTGAGGGTGTGCCGACGGCCGCGGTGTCTCGGCCTGCGGAGCACGCTCAGGATTCTGCAGTAGCTGCAGAGAAGTAGCACGGCGGGCAGCAGAAATGAGCCCAGGACTAAGCCCAGGGCTGCCAGGATGACGGCGCGGTGGCGCCGCGAGGACGCGTCCAGCAGACAGGGTTGGTGTTGGCGAGCGGCTGCAAAGCGCAGCAGAGGCAGACCCACGCTGAGCCCCAGCACCAGGCACCAGATCCCCCCGCTTACCAGCTGTGCAACACGCAGCCTGCGGAGCGTTGAGGCCAGCGGGTGCACGACAGCGAAGTACCGGTCCACAGCGATGCACACCAGGAAGAAGATGCCCCCGTACAGGCTGATGTATTTGAGGATGAAAGTGAGGTGGCAGTATGCCGCTCCCTGAGTCCAACTAGACGGGTCTCCTGTCTTTGAGGACAAGGCTCTGGCCTTTTGGTGGTAGTAGTAGATTCTCAGCGGCAGAGAGATTACAAAAAACAAGTCGGCAGCCGACAGGCTGAGCATGTAAATGGCGGTGCTGTTCATGGTGCGGGGGGATACACACAGTCTGCGCAGAACCAGGCTGTTGGTGGCCAACCCCAGCAGGAAGATGATGCCGTAGGACACTTGGTAGAAGGTGAAGCGGTAGCTGGTGTCCACAGTGCAGTTAGACAGAGGAGAGAAGGGCGTGGCTGGCACATCAGTCATATTCCACAGCTCCATGTCCCAAGATAATGTGCTTCCTTTAAATCACTGCATCGCTCTCACATCTGGAGGAAATTAGTTTGGTTGAAGGGAATATAAGATGGGAGGAAGGAACAGGTTCAGTGTCTTCTGCTGGAGTTGAACTTGTGGAAAGTAAAAAGTTAATAAACTCAAGATGCCTGCTGTTTTATGGAATGTAAATTTGCTGAGGTGACATAAACACACGACTACGGCTAACATAGCTCAATTTATATTTGATATGCAAGACGATATGTCAATGAGGTTTTAACTGCCACTTCCTGCTCTCATAAAACAAGCAAACATTTGGTTTCATTACATGCAGAGTGGGGAAAAGGAATCGCCTCGCCTTGTAAAACTGTGGCCCCTGCAGTAAATTCACATTTAGTGAAGTTTATAAAGTGTTGATTTAACTTGATTGTCATTTTTTGGCTGTAGTTTTGTGGCGGGTAAGTAACTATCCAGTTAAGCACCTGTCAGACAATAACTTCAATTATTAAGGACAGTCTGATGTTAAGTATTCTTTACCAATTGTTGATGTTTGTCATCAGGATTTGTGGGACTTTTTCCTCCCTTTTACATCATTATACTTTTTTTTGTGACAAACTCAGCAGGAATTTCGGCCTTTAAACAACTCCACACACTGAAGACACCAAATGAACATTGAGTTGAAACAATACCACTGACTGAGGAATTACTAGAGCGCTCCCACTGTTCTCCAAACACTAATGCTCTGAAGACACTTTGCCTTTGAACATTCATTTCAAAAATACAATTACAACACAAAATACAAGAACGCTGATCCTCACTATACTCTTACTTTCAGTCAGCATTCAGCTTGTCCTTTTCTGTTCTCTTTTTTTTATTCTCTTAAATTTATTTGAGAAGACATTTTATTTCAATGACATGATAAGGAATTGAAAACTTTTTTTTTTTTTTTCAAACTGTTCTAAACTATCGTGTGCTTTGGTGATCTGAACACAACTTCTGTATAATCATTCAGTCATCACATAACCCTTAATTGTAAAAGCACAAGAAATTCTCAAATATTGCATAAAATGAACATTATTCCATATCTTGTCTTCAGATAAACCTGAATGATAATATCTTCATACAGTCTGTTACTGGCTCCATGTGTTGCTCTACTGTGTGTGTAAAACTCAAACAGAAAACATCATCACTCACCGGTCTGAGTTTCTCATCGATGGCAGTGTGACGGAGCTGGTGTCCAGCAGCAGGATGACTTGTTAGGAGGCTGTAACGGTGCAACATGCTACCGGAGCCGTTCACGCCTACACTCACACACAGGTCAGGGTCACTAGGTTGGCTCGAGGATAGACAGTCATCTGGTCTTAACCAACTAGCTGTCACATTCAACTTAATTTGGTCATCTTACAGTTGGCCACAGATTGTTTCATTATCGTCATGTTTATGGCTGCTTGTTAAAAACCCGGACAAGGGATTGGAGTTGATCATTAACTACACAGGTAGAGGAATAATTCACTGAAAGAAGGCGCTGTAATAATCACACGGCCGTGTATATCGTGTGTGTCGGCCTCGAGTCACAATGAATACAAATGATTAGAATGTATGTTCTGTCAAAATGTTAGTCTTTGCACCTGAGAGAAGAAGTAATTCATCTGTTCTCCACTTTAGATCTTTGACAATCAAATTGGGATGTTTGAATAATTATATATTTATAATACATATTACGACTTCGCTACACACCACTTGGCCCTCGTGAGACAAATTTGGAATTAGATATAAATAACAAATGAAGGACACGGCATGTCTTGATCGAGAACTAATTTATTCTCCTGCGCTCATAAAAAATACATCTTATGTTATGGTCACTATTATCGTTTATTATTGATATATTACAAGGTTTTTTGATTATCAAGTCAGCTTTGAGTCATAATGATATTTTCTGCTCAAAAGCATTAATCCAGCACAAATATTTGATTAGTGTTGGATAGACAAAGTCCAGCTGCATCTTGATTAGAAGCCCGTTCCTCTGTATTGCATTTCGTAGCGTTAGAAGCCCATCGCAAGGGCGAGACTCAAGTAACGGCTAATTGTTTTACTTGTCTCGAGGGTGCCAGTTTTGAGTTGTGCTCGGTTTTGTAAACATACTCGTCCCTCATGGGGCATGTTGTTGCTCGCCTGCTTATGTTTCACAATCCGGTGCCGTAACGAGTCCGCCCTCGTCAGCGCGGATCCTCGGGCTCGGCCTCTCAGCAGGAATGCAGCAGCGTTCGGTCTTGCAGCATGCAGCTTTTACAAGACTGAACACAATCAAGCTGCAGAATATCTCACTGCGAGATGTGTGTCTTCACTTTACCTGTTAGTCCGTAGGAAACCGATTTAGATTATTCTCATCCAACTGCAGTAACGTTCGATGTTTTTCTCTGTAATTCCTCGTTTTTCAGCTACAACATTTTTCACAGATACGTCCACTTATTTAGATAAGGCCACTGGCAGTGTTACTGCAGCGTTGGCCGGTGCAATGCATCTGTCAAATATTGACCACACCTGTAATCTACATTTTAAAACGCATTGACGTCTTGTGCATTCATGGCACAGTACCTGTAGCTCTGTTGTTGGCACCTGTATGACGAATCAGTCCAGACAGATGTTTTGGTATCACCCAAAGAACAACAGGCCCCCTGCTAATGTCAAATATTTCACAACGAGTAGTGAATTTCAAATCAAAAACCTTTTAATTTAACAACTTTTATTTGCTTTCAGTAGAACAGGTAAAGCTGTTATTGAACATTCTGCCACAGCTACTTAGACCCTGCACAGTACACTACATAACACATTGTTGTAATACTTGTTCAGCATTGCCAAAGCCTTTCTGAGTGAGAATCTCTACAATTACAATGTCTCACAAAGGCCGATGCTCACTCGCAGCACCGTGCACGGCTTCGACACCCGTCATCGCCACTAATACACATAAACTCATGAGAATAAAGAGTTTTCAAACTTTGTGAGTGGTGAATTAGCACCTTGATAAAGGGTCTTTAGGCTGCAACACACTTTAAATGTTTCCTCTTTGACGTGTCCCACTCTTCTGTTGACTGTAAACAGATCAGTGTCCTAAGTCTCGGTGGTGTCAAGCGCACGAGAGAGTGACTCCTTAGTAACCATTGTTCATGTGTTATGATCTTCAAGGCCACTCTGCTTCCACCTACGTCCTCAGATTCAAATCGAATTTCCACCAGCAATCAGTGAATCATTAATCATGTCCCATAAACACAGTCGCCGCTAGATCGTAGACTCGTTGTCGAGCGTTTTCGTTCTGAGATTGGTCAGGGTCAGGTGTTTGGGTGTCGTGTTCGGACTGCTTTGTGCGCTGTCCACCTGTAGCCTGTCGAATAGCTTGGCGTGCCACACGGTGGACTTGCGCTTAAAGGAGCTCTGAATGGTCTCTGAAGTGAAATAGTAAATGACTGGATCAAAGCAGCAGTTGGTCACTGCCAAGCACAGAGCGATGGGGTAGATGGTTCTGACCACATCTTCTGCGTCGCACCCCTTTAGGACGTTGGTGCGGACCATGGCGTAGAAGATGAGATTGACGTTGTAGGGAATGAAACAGAAGCAGAAGATGAGCAGATGCACGACGATCATCCTCAGGATTTTCTTCTTGTTGAGGTACCCTCCGCGGCTGATGGTTTGGGGTTTACTCAGCGTCCGTAGCACCATGACCGAGCAGAACACATTGACCATCAGGGGGATGATGAAGCCCACGGTCTCAATAAACACCACCACCTTGGACAGCTCAGCCCTCCACTGGGTTTTAGAGTAGTTTTCAAAGCAGTAGTTTGAGGAGGCTTCGACATTTGTGAGGGAGGTGGTGTTCAAAAGGAACCCAGTGGGTATACTTCCGGAAAGAACCATCACCCATACTGCGCAGCAGGCCAGTTTGGCATTCCTCTTAGTACGTATAGCTTGGGACCTGAACGGGTGCACGATGGCCAGGAAACGGTCGACGCTGATGCAGGTGAGGAAGAGGATGCTGCCGTACATGTTGGTGTAGAACAGGGCCACGGAGATCTTGCAGAGCACCCTTCCAAATAGCCACTTGCCTTTGATGAAGTAAGCGATCCGAAAGGGCAGACTCAGGACAAAGAGAGAGTCTGAAACGACGAGGTTTATCATGTATGTCGTGGTCTCGTTACGCAGCTTCAGTGTACAGCCAAAAATGTACACAGACACCGTGTTGAATAAGAGTCCAACCACAAACACCACGCTGAAAACCGAGCTATACAGAGGGTACTTGAAGTCATCAGTCTTGTTGCAATTATTTGGAGTGATGTTAAAAGTTTGGTTCGTGCTGTTCAACATTTTTAAACCGGGTTGATACGTCTGTAACGTATACAGAGTTCAAAGGTTCCCCTCACCCGGTTGCTTGTGTCAGTCACAAAAATCCATGTGCAGCTTGTTAATCCAACCATGTGGGACTATTATCCTTTCATTTAGGTTGAGTAAACACTGAAGAGTCCCCAGGTTGTGTGGTTCTTGTTATGAAAATACTGGAAAAGTATACAGCAACTCCACAAAATACCTGTATTAGTATCCAAAGTCCCTCCTTTCCGTACAAGAAGGCTGTCCTGCACATCCAGTAATCCTCGTTGAAATGAAGTTTTCAGTCTTTTCCAGTTGAGAAGTTTATCCCCTTTGAGGGAAGAGTCATGTGCCTCTCTTCAACTCCGCGAGCAGTCGAGTGGTTCTTCCCTTCTTGTGTTTCCTGTCTGTTCTTGCAGCAGCCCTGGGGGGAGGGGGAAGGGAGGAGGCGGAGGGAGTGGGAGCGCGCGCACGTTGATTGTTACTTTAATGCTCCAGGGGTTTTACTCTGCCCCTGCCTGATTGTAATACAGGGATAGTGTAGCGGGCTGCAAGTCAGGCTCCAACACAAAGAACTCACCGGACTGTTGGAACACAGAGGGAGGAGCCTCCACCGGGGGCCAAAGTCCTCCTACCGCTCCTTTGTGTTTTTGCACTTACTTGTTATTTGAATAATGACACAATCAGAAGTTACATTGGTTTTTATTGGTATCCTCAGAAATATAGCGTGTTTAGATCAACCTCCCATCACCTTAGACGTGTTAAACATGAATACACCTCATGAAACAGTGCAGTGGTGGCATTCATTACACGTCTCTGAATGCTGTTGGGACAATCAGATATCAAGTGTACCCTTTTGAAAGGTGGCGTCAGCCGGGCGTGGCGTGTGTGACACGAAGACTTTCCTATTAGCAAGTCCGTACCTGCAGTCAATGTGTAGTAAACCACACCCACTTCCTTGTATGATCTCATCACAGATGTGTGTACATGCTGAGATTCCCATACACCACTGGTCTGCCTGAATAGAAGTCTTGAGTTTAAATGTGTTTTTTACAAGTGACGAGGATAATTGTGTGTGTGTGTAGGTGGGGATTTTTCTGTGTTTATGTATATTGGGATTAATGATTAATTTCAGATTAAGGGGATTTCTGTGGCAATCGCTATAATCAGATAGGATACTATAGGGAGTGGCATTGGATCACAATTAAATGAGAAACCGCTGTAACATCAGCCCATAGTTATAATTTGACAGTTGGGTGTTTGCAAAGGAAATTAGCTGTGTGAAATGTTATACAAAAAATGTTCCTATACAGTATATATGTCACACTCTGGAGGAAACACCAAACAGATGGGCTGTTCATGACGTTATTGACATAGTATATACATATATGTTGATATAAATAAATGACTTCATCTGTGGATGTATTCTCTTTTAAACAACTTATTCATTATAAAAATCACGCTTGCGTCTCCGCAGGACTCGCCGCTGTTTGAGCTGCTGAAGCAGGAGCACGGAGGCGGAGCAGCAGATCAGGTGGAGACCCCGGCCAGTTTCAGCCAACCACTGCAGCACAACCACACCGCAGCTGACCTGTGAGTCTGACGTCCCACAGTCTGTTAGTCTGTGTTTCTGTATGCAGCAGCTAAGTGACCGTCTACTCGCCTTTTTTAGCCGTTGTGAAACCCCGGTGAGTCACAAGTGAAAGAGCTCGTCTCTGTGATGAAGCAATAGCTCAGCAACGTGGTATTTAATAAAACGACATCTGTTAATTTCCATGGCTTTATGAGCCGTCCCTATCTGTGGCTTTGAACCGGTTCTCCTACCTCATTCTAAATGAATGAACTGATTTGTGGTGTAAATGTAACCGGAAATTTCCTTTGTTCACTTTAATGTTGACTGTGTAACTGACGGGGCCCCAATGGGTTTCTCCATTGTCCTTACAGATACCTGTCCCCCATGCGTCCAGGCCTCCGTGTCTTGCCCCCCGAGTCTCCGCCCACGCCCGGCTCTCAGGCTTCCTCTCAGCCTTCGGCCCAGCCTGCCGGCCAGACTCCGCGGCTCCCGAAGTCCAACTCGCTCAGCCTCTTCTATAAAAAATGTAAGATCCCGGTCACATTGTTTATTTCGGTTTATTTAAGTTTTCCTCAAGGCATGCCACTTATGTATAATAACAGATGTGTGGATAAACACGGCCAGCCCCACTTTGCAAAAATAAGTAATATTAAAAACAAAAACTTTTTTGTCAGGGATGGATTTCCAATTTGACTTCATGATAAACTGGGACTAAAATAGTACCACGAGTCATTACATTTGCTTGAAGAAAGTATTCAAAGATGACAACGAGTATTTATTCTGCTTGCTCTGTTCAGAACTCAAGTCCTTCAGGGTTTCTTTTCTGTGGTGTCCCTCTCTCTGTAGTGTACCGGCTGGCCTACACCAGGCTGCAGATCCTCTGCTCCTACCTGCTGTCCTCCCACCCTGAACTGGAGCCCATCATATGGACCCTGTTCCAGCACACGCTGCAGCATGAGCACGAGCTGATGAGAGACCGTCACCTCGACCAGGTAACAATACACCGCTCCCTGTCATTCACTCAGTCATCCACTCGTATGGCCTTGCTCTTTGTCTTCACTCCATTTGTCTCTCGGCATCTCAAACTGCTTGTCGTTGTTCTTGTAGCTGATGATGTCGGCCATGTATGCCATCTGTAAAGTGAAGAGTGTTGATCTGCGCTTCAAGACCATTGTCACGGCGTACAAGAACATGCCCAACACCAACCAGGAGGTGACGCCTTCTAAGACTTAAAACTCTTGTTCTCATCCTTCAGGCTGTTTGTTTTGCTGTTGTAATGGCACTGCGTGTTTAATTATTTTGAACGTGTTTTTGTATCGCAGACCTTTAAGCATGTGTTGATCACCGAGGGCCACTATGACTCCATCATCGTCTTCTACAACCAAGTGTTCATGCAGAAGCTGAAAACCAACATCCTGCAGTATGCGTCTACCAGGGTGAGACCCCGTTTGACTTTTTATACAATCGCAATTGGATAAATGCGCACGTGACTAAACCCTCTCACTGTTGCTGTTTTGTTTTTGGTAGCCACCCACCCTCTCTCCAATCCCACAAATCCCACGAAGCCCTTACAAGTTCCCCAATTCACCTCTACGTGTGCCTGGGAGCAACAACGTGTACATCTCCCCTCTGAAAAGCTCACGCATGTCCCCGGGTATCATGACTCCTCGCTCCAGGTGAGTTCTGGGAAACCTTCACCTGTGAAGTAGCATGATCCTTTACATTGTTTTTGATGGTGGGAAGAAAAAGCATATTTGCACTTTTTTTTTCTCATTGGTGTTCTTTGCCTTCACAGAATGCTGGTATCGATTGGTGAATCTTTCGGGGTACGAGCCTCTTTTTGTTTGCGTTGTTGCATATCAAAGGATACTCTAGAATTACAGTGACTCTTTCCCTTAGCTCACTCTTGTCGTTTCCGTTTTGTTTTCATCTGCAGCTGTCCAATCGGTTCCAGAAGATCAACCAGATGGTGAACAGCGGCGAGCGCTCCTTCAAGAGGGCTCTGGATCTCGGCTCGGCTCCGAAGCCTCTGAAGAGGTTACGCTTCGATGTGGACGGGCAAGATGAAGCCGACGGCAGGTTGGTCATAAATATGGTGTTATATTTAGCGTAGCGTACCAGCGCCCGGATTTATTGCACATTTATACTTGTATACTCCAATTATGCTCATATATTTTTAATTTGCAGCAAATCTGGAGGAGATTCTACACTGATACAGAAGCTTGCAGAGATGAGTAAGTGGAAATCTTACTAAGTTCCGCTTTTATCTTTCGATATTCCCAATTCTTCTTCTTCTTCATGTTTCCTTACTGTCCATTGTACAGCTTGTAGATGTACGTTGCTCTAACATAACGATGATTTTGTTTCATGAAGGCTCCACTCGGAGTCGCATGCAGGAGCAGAAGATGAAGGAGGACGCAGAATCAAAGAAGGAGTAACTCTAAAGCCTACTGAACTGACCTGCACTGTTTATCACGACGTGAACGCGACGCTTTTGTTCACGCACAAAGTGAAACACGAGTTTCTCTTCACATTTAGCATTGGATTTAGTTTGTATTTAACTTTGAGGAGTAACATGTGAATATAGAGGACTTTCTCCTCTCTTTTTGTTGATGTGTGTTTTACCTGAATAATGATTGATGTCATTGAAGATTTAGTATGTTTGGTTTTAAGAGTGATATTAATTTGTGGGTGTTAAAGACATTTTTTATTTTGTTTTGCTCTTGTTGGATGTCCATTGCTGCTTTCCTTGTTAAATACTTGGTTGACTGTTTTACCACCATCAGCACCTTCATATGTTGACCTTTTTTCTTTTGTGACATTCTTTTAAAATGTTTCAAATCATGACGCAACATTTCAGTTGTTCAATCATGATCTCTCCTCTGAAAAAGGAATAAATGTCAGCGTCGGAGGGAAATCGTCTTTTCGCAGTTTTACTTTTAAAGTGATATTTGACTCGGGAACTTGCTCGGAGCGTCTTGGAAAAGTGAGAATTATAAAACAAAAAGAAATAGCAAAGGAAAATGATATAGCATATAATTTGCACTCAACCGAAATTCATGTAGTTTCATAGGATTTGGTTGACGGGTAATGTTTCTCTGTGTGTAGAAACTTTTGTTATACTTTTGAGGGTTGAGACTGTTCATCAAATGCAATTAAAAGACTGTTTTTCATGTTCTCACATTTTTGTACGGATAAGTTAGTTAATGTTTGGAGCCGGGAGGTTTAGCTTACAGCGATGAACGCGCACCACATAGAGCATTAATATCTCAACTTTACTCCAGAAAAGTGTACCACGGTCAGATACATTGCTAGATATGTCAATTAGCAGAGTTTTTTTTTTTTTTTTTTTTTTATTGAAATGTGTTTATATTGTACTTTATTGAAGTAGTTCCTTGAAAACGTAGTAAATATTTCTTTTGAAAAACTGATTTTGTTTTTGTATTCCTTTGCATAGACGTAACTACATGTTATATCATCGTCTATGTTAATCAGTTGCCTTTGAGGCCAACAGTGATCGATGCCAGCTGACGAAGTGTTGTTGTCATGTTGAGTTATGCTGTTTGTTTTGTTTTTAAAGAGGGCTGTTATGTGTTATTCCAGCTTTATATACTATGTAATGCTGTCAGTTTTTCTTTGGAGAAAAATACAATTTGAGTGTTGGTGATGAAACAGAAACACGACCAAGTTGAGTTCTCTTTTCTCACGGTTTACGGCCACATTTGTCATTTCCTGTTGTCGAGCTAGTGTCAGCGACCTGTTTCCCATCTGAAGGTTAAGTTAACTTAGGACTTTTAAATACTCTTCTCCTTCAAGTTGATTCATTATATATAAATGAAAAAAATCAATGTCAGTTCAGACCGTCACCAAGCAGAACAATATCACTGAATACTTCAGCTGTGATTACGATCCAATAACAGATATAGGTCTTGCTTTATCACTTCATGTATCTCAATAAGAATTGCAGTCGCAGCAAAGAGCTTTACGCCGACACTGGTCCTTTTCCTCCCTCTGCTGTGCACAGTTATGCTCACAAGAGTCAGTAGCCAGTCAGGCGTTACTTCCACACACGATTACAGATCATTACAAGGACTGATCAACACGTCACTGTTGGATTAACTCTTGAGTTATATGGTCATCTTTGGCTATGGTTGACTAAAAATTGACATTTGTTCCAAAATTGCGTCATAGAAAATGTATTTTGGCCACATCCAGAAAATAGTGAGAAATGCCTTCACAACCCAGAGCCCAAAGTGACACCTTCACAACGCCTCTTACGTCCAATGAGTCGTACAAAGTATTTAAAATTAATTCAAATAATTGAAAGGAGGAGCATCAAATCTTGACATTTGAGAAGATGGAACCATGAAAAATGGCGTTACTATTGTCAAGATAGTTGCCAATAAATTATCGATTCCTCTGCCAATCGTTTCAGCTTGTATATTTGAATATGTTGCGTGTGCAAAAGTGTAATAATACTATTTTAATAGTGGACCTCCTTAAAGAGAACTGCATGAAATAATCAGTTCATCTTTTACTTGCGGCTCCTTGTTTTTCCTTCGGCTGTGAACTCCCTCCAGCTTCTCAGGGGGAAACGATGACAGCTGCTACCTGTTCAGTATAACGGCTACCTTAATTGTACGATGGCACTGTTTCCAATGGAGAGACGAGAGTTAATTCCTGTTTGAACGCAGCAACAGTTTGGTGTGGGCGCAGCCAGGCATGAAACACTTTGAACTGGCAACGTTTTTAATTGGCCTGGCCCCCATGGGGGATGGAAGTGTGTTATTGAGTTTGTGGGTGCTGATTCCATGCAGTCAGCCGGTAGCACACATGATCGCGGGACACCAAAGTCCTCAGTTCTCTCTCTTATTGGAGCTGCTAGTGCAATCTACCGATTTCATCTTCATCTCTGAAGCTCAAAATAGCTGCCAAAAAATATTATTAATGTCTCCAGAGAAAGTGATTGTCCTTTTGCTTTAGGATCACTGCTGCTTATCAGGGATGGAAAACCTCACGGTAAGCAAAGTCTTTGTTTGTAGAATTTGTCATTCCGTAGATTCAAGTTTTATAACAAAAATGTTGTATATTTTATTAATGAAAGTTGTTTTCCTTGATGTCATAAAATGCATCCCATCGTGCACTCATTTGTAGAATGTGCCACGCTTTTATTTTGTATACGTCCTTTAATTTTCTCACAAAACCACATTATTTTGTCCAGGCTTGAATTTTCTCTTATGAAATCTAACTGGTAGTTAACCTTTTCTCTCTGTTATCTGACATTAATTAAAATGTGGTGAATGGACATCTAATACCGCTGTTGACTGTCCCGCCCCGTCCCTCAGCCTGAACAATGGCGCGAGATCATGAACAGGAAGATGCGGTTCCCTCCGGAGCTCATCAGTGCCATTCATGAGGGGAAAATAGAGCTGCTGTGTGGACTGCTGAAGACCGGCGACGGCATCATCCGCCAGCTGGATGAGTCTGAGGATCGCCAGTGGAGGGAGGCCCTCAACCTGTCCATCCGCCTGGGCAACGAGGGCTGCATGGACGCCCTCCTGCAGGGGGTCAAGTTTGACTTCCGGCAGATTCACGAGGCCCTGCTCGTCGCTGTGGACACCAACCAGCCCAGAGTGGTGAAGCGCCTGCTGGACCGCCTGGACCAGGAGAAAGGCAACAAGATGGACGTGCGCTCCTTCTCTCAGGCCATCTTTGACCACTCTATTGACAACTCCCAGTTTGCCCCTGGTGTGACTCCTCTGACGTTAGCCTGCCAGAAAGACCTGTATGACATAGTGAGCATGCTCACCCAAAAAGGTCACATCATCCCGTGGCCACATAAGATATCCTGTGCCTGTCTGGAGTGTCGTAACGGCCGGCAGTACGACCTCCTGAAGTTCTCCTTGTCTCGTATCAACACCTATCGTGGCATCGCCAGCCGTGCCTACCTGTCCATTACCTCTGAGGATGCCATGTTTAGAGCTTTCAGCCTCAGCAGAGAGCTCCGTAAACTCTCGCAGAAAGAGCCGGAGTTCAAGGTCTGGTGAGATTCGAGATGTGCCCACTTACTGTTCACCTTCTGTGTCGTTCCTTGTTCACTCTGCTGTGGTGCCTCTCTTCCTGCAGCCTCAGTATCTGGGCCTGGAGGAGCTCTGTCAGGAGTTTGCCGTTGAGTTGCTGGGCATGTGTCGCAACCAGAGCGAGGTGACCACCATTCTGAACAGCTGTGGGGACGAGAGCCAGGACTCCTTAGAGGAGCAGGCCTTTGAGGATGGAATCCCCAATCTGTCCCGTCTGCGTCTTGCTGTCAACTACAACCAGAAGCAGGTAGCTGGATGCAGGAACTACTGCCATTCAAAAGAAGACAATGAACTTGATGTCTCACCCTCTGTGTGTGTGTTTTTGTGCAGTTTGTGGCCCACCCAATCTGCCAGCAGGTGCTGTCATCTATCTGGTGTGGGAACCTGGCAGGCTGGAGAGGCAGCAGGACGGCCTGGAAGCTGTTTGTCTCTGTGGGGATCTTTGTCACCATGCCCGTCCTCTGCCTCGTCTACTGGATCGCACCAAAGTCAAAGGTCACATCAAACGAAAATGTTCTAAACGTAGAGATGCATGTTCTGAAAAAAAGTGTCACAGACGTGTCATGGGAGACAATCAATTAAGAAAACAGGATGAACACTTTGTGTCTTGACCCTGACAGGTCCTCGTCTTTTGTGTTTTCACCAGGTAGGGAAGATATTAAAGACTCCTGTGATCAAGTTTCTCCTCCACGCTGCCTCCTATATGTGGTTTCTCATCACGTTACTCGGAGAATCTATAACAATGGAGATTTATCGAGGCAAATTTGCATCCCGGCATCAGAACATCCTGCACAGCTCCTTCCACATGGTGTGGGTGGTCGGTGGGTTCCCCCTCTCCTTTCTGACTCTCCTCCATAACGCTCAGATAGAAAACTCAAGCTTCATACCCTGCTGTCTCATGTAGGATTCTTCTGGTACGAGTGTAAGGAAGTGTGGATCGAGGGGCTGCGGAGTTACTTCCAGGACTGGTGGAACTGCCTGGATGTGATGGTGCTCAGCATGTACCTGTCGTCCTTCACGTTACGTGTGCTTATAATGCTCAAAGGTCACGTCCTCTGCCAGGATTATGACGGCAAAGAGGAGTGCGTCTACTTCACTCAGACTGGTGAGGAAATGATCACATCATTCAAACCAAATAGTTGTCTGTGGTCTCAAAAGTACTCAATGCTGAACGGGCCTGTTTGGTTGTGTAAAAAATCATCCCGCAGTGCGCGAGGACTGGCATCAGGAGGACCCCCAGCTGATTGCGGAGGTGCTGTTTGCAGTGACCAGTATGTTGAGCTTCACACGGCTGGCGTACATCCTGCCAGCACACGAGTCTCTGGGGACTCTGCAGATCTCCATAGCGAAGATGATTGATGACATGATGAGGTAAGAGCACTTTTCATCTGGCCTCCTGTATTATCAATCACTGGAAGAGAATTCAGAGCACATGATGGGAGTAAATGATAATGTTTTTCTTTTTTAGATTTATGTTTATTTTGATGATCATTGGAACAGCCTTCCTCTGTGGCATCAACAATGTCTATGTTCCTTATGTCATCTCTCCACATCTTGGCAGGTAAGAATATGGAATCTGCTGAAAATGAGAATATATACAGTATACATCAATGTTGTTAGTGGAAAACAAAAGGTATGAATAGAGTCTCGTCGTGCTCTGCTGCAGGTTTAATGAGACGTTCCACTTCTTATTCTGGACCATGTTTGGCGTGGCCAACCAGGACTACGTGGACATGCCACAGTTTATGTTGGCAGAGTTTGTCGGAAGGGTTCTGTACGGCATCTTCACGCTCGTCATCGTCATCGTCCTGCTCAACATGCTTATTGCCATGATCACCAACTCCTTTCAGAAAATTGAGGTAAAGAGATATTTTTATGTCACTACTGCAAAAAAAAAACAACAAAGACTGGACCTGACATCTCAACATATGTATTTCAGGACGATGCAGATGTTGAGTGGAAATTTGCCAGATCGAAGCTGTACCTCAGTTACTTCAGAGAGGGCCTCACCATTCCTGTGCCCTTCAACATCATCCCCTCACCCAAAGCTGTTTTTTACATCTTACAGTGAGCTCTTAAAAAGCTTCAACTTGCAAAGTCACCACATTGTGTATCCAAATCTTTATTTATTTATCTAAAATAATTGTGTTCCAGGGGCATCTTTAGACAAATCTGCTGCTGCTGCACTTGTAATTCTGAGGACAAATATCCCGATATAGCCTCTATGGTAAGTGTGTGTTTAATGATCACATGCAGGAGTTAGTGTGACTGGAGTAAAAAGTAAATAATCTTCTACACACTGTGTACTGAAATGTGTGATGTTGTGTGTTTTAAGACCAATATTAAGGGATCTGAAGACAGCCAGTTGCCTTACCGCCAGCAGGTGATCAGAGCTCTGGTGCAACGCTACATTGAATCGGCACGCAGGGAGTTCGAGGAGACCAAGAGGAAAGGTAAGCATAACTTTGACACAAACAGTCAGTCAGTAATGCATCGAAAGTCTTGTTTGCTCACAAACCTGGCCTGTTGCATGTCGCAAAGCACAATCTCCTAATACTACCTTAATTACCTTAATAAAACCTTAAAGTCAATCCTTAAGTTAACTGGAACAGTCTGGCTGCAGCATTTTGTATAACTGAAAGGTGTGAATGTGCTTTATTGTTTATGAAAATAGACATATGGATAACTTTTACTAAGTCAGAGATAATAGAAATTATCAAATTTTTAAAAACCATTCAAAGTTGTTAAAGATAGGACTGAACTACCTGCTTGACATGATGATCAAAAATGATATTGGAATCAAAGATAACTCCTAACTTTCTATCATTAGGCTTTAAAGAAGGTGCTAAGTTAGCATCTGTGTCACTAAAGACGAGATGTCTAGTGACCCAAATAATAATATTTAAATAGTTTCTTCATTGAGTTGGAGGAAGTTATTTGACATCCAGCATTTAATATCTTTGAGACTTTAGGTTGTTACAGAAGTCAGTCTGTTGGTGGATCCTGGTTTTATAGACACTTGGAGTTGTGTGTCGTCAGTATAACAATGGACTGAGAGCTTATGATTGTGAATTAATCTGCCAAATGGAAGCATTTAAAATACAGCTCTGCCTTCCTTCATTTTCAATATTACTGGCTAACATTATGAATTATAGAAATGTTATGCGTACCAGTGGTCTGGAATAATATATTAGGACTGCGATACGGTTTGATGTTCAAACATGAATTGCTTGTGCATTATTCGCCTGCATGCTGTATTCTCTTCCCCTCAGATATCGGTAATCGGATCACTTTGCTGACCAAAACGGTCACCAGGATGCATGGTGATATGAAAGTGGTCAACCAGGTTTTGATGGACGATGGACACACTGCAAGCAACGCATTGACCAAAGATGGCTCCTCCTTTCTGGGGAAATACATCATTGGTGCCAAGAACAATTTCAGAGGTTTTAACAGCAGACAAGATGAGAGAAATGCATCACTTAAAGTGACAGTGCACCATGGAGAAGAAGGTGTCGATAAAGAAAAGCTTGACTCGGATACAAAACAAGAGTCAGACGCACAACAGAGTCAGGTGAGCGAATGTAGAGCAGAGGGATCAAAGCAGGTAACAGATTGCGATGTGCTGAAAATGGAGGAAGGCAGAATTCAAATAGAGCTAGGAGATAAGAAGGAAACGGAGAAAAAAGAGCTGGTGGAGGCAGACAAAAGTGAAGTGAAAGAGGAAGTGGTGGCAGGGAGACATTTTGATCATGTAGAAGAAAAGCAAAAAGCAGAGGCTCCACAGGATGAGGCAGAAAAAAGAAGAGAGGGAGAGATACTCAGAGTGGTGAAGGTGTGTGGAAAACACACAGAGACGACCTCCCAACAAGCTGAGAGCATCAAAGTCAACGAGGAAAAGACGGATGCAAAGAGAGTAGTAAACAAGTTCAGAGACACTGAGCTGCAAGAACAACCAGTGGAGGCAAAATGGATGAAGGGTAGAATGTTTGAGGAAGATGTAGCAGAGAAGTCTGGTTCCAGGGAGAGCAATGCAAAACCTGGAGCCAAGAAAACCATTCCCTCGCCAACAGGCAGCAGCAGCTCCAAGGACACAGGCTTTGGTTCCCAAGAAGGGGAGGGATCGATGGACGGGACGCTAGTGAGACCGTAATCGTAGTCGTCTCCCATTTAAAGGACCACGCTGACTTTTTCAGCGTTTGGCTCTTTGGTAATATTATTCAATATCTGATGAGAGGTAAATGTTCCATGTTTTTGGGAAAAATAGTCTTGCATATATAACCGCCTGTAAAACAGGAGATTTTCCTTTTTATACTTTGGTTTTTGTACTTATTAAACAAACATTTGACATACTTTAGAGGTGTTGGTAAGTTTAGTTTTTTCCCCTGATCCCAGTTAACCACCTAATTAGCTGCTCGCTGTAGCTTCATATTTAATGAACAGGCATGAGAGTAGGATCAATCTTCTCATCAAGCTTTACGCCAGAACGCCAAAAAGGATATTTTCCAAATTGTAGAAAAATTCCTTTAATTAAATCATTCATTCAAAGATCTATTAGGCTACAAATTCGATTTTTTCATTTAGGGAATGAATGTTCTCGTATTTATTTGCTGAGACAGAGATCATGTTGTTACAATCTTTTCATCACATGAGAGAATTTGAAATTTAAATACAGAGCCTGTAAATTGCTAAATGAGCTAAAACAGCACATTGAATTAAAAATGGCTCACTTCCTGTTAGGCTTCGGGCATACCTCTAAGAGGCTTTTTTGTGCGTCTCTTCATGTTACACTTGCCTAACAAATTTCGTATTTGTATGTTCAATGTAGGGCTCAATTTTAGCAACTTTGTTTTGTGCTGTCCCTCCTCACTGCCATCTTTCAAACTGTACTGTTTAGGAAACTCTGTTGGTCATTTTTGGTTTCTCTTAACATTCAAATATCAGAAGAAAGTAGCCTTGTGTTCAATTAACTTACTTTGTAACATAATTAAAACACTTGAAATCCCATTTATTTCCGTGTCTCTGTATTTTAGTGTGGGGGGGAACATTAACTCTGTGCAGACTGAGGTTATAAAGTAGTGCTGCCTTATTGTTTCTTTAGTAGGCGGCAGACCAACACCCTGCTACAGTGTGACAGATCAGGTGTCAGCTTGCTTTACACATACTGCTCCCGTGAGGTCGCATGCATGAACACAGCAGTTCATTAATTCTTCACCTGCAGCATCGACCCGTCCCAAGACACAACCCATCAAGAGTCTTCCTACGGAAAAAACACCTTGGCTTGTAGCTCTTTGTTGCCATCATCAGTTTCATTTTTTGGTGTTGTGAGCCTGGGTCCTGATCTGCCTGCTTCACCACAGATAATTAAAACACACTTTATGTCATTTGACAGAAAAGCCTTCAAGATCTTTAAAAATACGACTAACATGCACAGGCATGTTCGCCTCGCTAAACTAATCATAATCTCCATCCTGTTAGAGCGTCCCTGGAGACAGAAGAGTCTATCCCCCTGCCGCTCACTTCCTAATAAACAAGACTCAAAGAACAGCAGGCTGGCTACTTTCTATCTGAATGCAGATATTTTACTTTTGTAAATGTAATGCTGAATTACTGTTTTTGCCTCAATAAATGCAGGATTCATATGTATAATAGCAGTATATGCTCAGGTTCTGAGGTGGAACGAAAGCTTCATATATTCTCAACAATAGTGTAATAATAAATAATGAGACTTCAATTATGACCATTTTACAAGTTTAATTTCCTACACACATAAAATACAAACATGAAATTCATTAACATATTATAAAAATGTATTGATAAAAAGAAACACAAAGGGAAAATATTAATTATTTGTCGCCTATTAATTCTGTACAAAAATTTAACAACACAATTGATGAAATCTGTGAAAATATTACAATAGACAGCAAATATTTGTGACTTAAAGACCGTGTCATATGTAAAACCCTGGTTACAATATCATATACAAAAATAAAAAGAACATGGTGTTTCCTAAAATATATCTTTAATTGGGAAGCTGGTGATTAAGGGGAAGTGAGTTTATCTGAGGGGACCACACTTCACTTAGGAATCACACATCAGGCAATCATCTTTGTTCGCTAAGGAACACACCACGGCAGCAACGTTATTCTCTTTGGTCTCCTCGTCGGTCTTGGTTGACTGGGCTTCCTTTAATTTCTCCTTGTTGAGGGTGAACTGGATGGGGTTGGCAGCAGGCTTCGTCCGCAGGTAGTACATGCCGGTTTTCAGGCCCTGCAGAGAAAAGAAGACCGGCATTAGGACGTTGTTTCTTCTCACTTTAATACAGCATCCATCACACCTGTAGTGCCTCAGTCCTAACTTACCAACTTCCAACCACAGAAGTGCATGCTGGTCAGTTTGCTGTAGTTTGGCTCGGCAATATGGATGTTTAGGGACTGGCTCTGGTCAATGTAGGCCCCACGATCTGCTGCCATCTTGAGGACAGTCTTCTGGGAGATTTCCCACACGGTTTTATACAGCTGCTTCAGATCATCGGGGATCTCTTCAATATCCTGTGGAGGGTAGACAAGTCAGATGCTGCAGATCACCAAAACATTTTAGTGACATTTAGAGCGATGTCACTGAATAATTTAATCAGCAGGTAGCAACTACCCTACTTCTTACTTGATTTATTACCTCAGCAAATATTTAAAACATGAGTTTATGGTCTCATAACTATGTTTTAATCAGTGTATAATCACCTGAAACTAAGAATCGTGTTTTTGTTAGCTTAGATCTACATAGCGTGCATGTCTGCTGCCACAGACTCTACCATCTTACGACCCCGCTATGTTTCTATAGCAGCCCAGAACGGACAAACTTAATTCTAGCTCTAGCGAGAGCCTTTGTGTTTTTACGTCATCTGAAGGTAGGGATGTGTGCCGAAACTCCGTCTTAAACGGGTCCCGGTGCTAAATTATTAAAGGATACTCGAGTTGACATAAAAGCCGATAATTTATCAATACATCTGTGCAACAAGCACGAACATGTAAATGAAAACTAGTATAAATAGAATCCTTAAGATACCTTTCCGTACCTGAAGACCACCATAGTTCTCCAACACACTTGGAAAGGGAGGAGTACGCTGAGGGGTATTTAGTTGGGTGCAATCTACAACTCACCACTAGATGCCACTAAATCTCACACACTGTTCCTTTAAGTGTGATCCTTTACCTGGATAGACCCATTCTGAGCAATCAGCTGGTTCTTCATTTTATCACTCCACAGTCCTCTGTCTGTGAGGTCCTTCAGCAGGTGAGGATTCACGATCTATCGAAGACGCAGAAAAGACACTTAGCACCATTTCCCTTTATGGACACACAACTTCTGAGACGTAAAGAAGTGCTGACCTGAAACTCTCCCGAGAGCACCCTGCGGGTGTAGATGTTGCTGGTGTAGGGCTCAATGGACTCGTTGTTTCCCAGGATCTGGGCGGTGGAAGCTGTGGGCATTGGGGCCAAGAGCAGACTGTTCCTCACACCGTGCCTTAGGACACACGGGGGGGGAAGCAGGGATGAGCCACAATCTCCACATACAGTACAGCAGATCTACCAACAAGGAAGACATTCAGGTAGACCTACTTGGCAATTTGCGCCTTCAATGTTTCCCAGTCACAGAGATCTGTTGGGGTTTTATCCCACATGTCATACTGAAGGATCTGGAAAACAAAATGAGTGACAAACTGAGCCCAAACTACCAAACCGTATCCCAGGATGGAGTCGAGACATTGTGAGAACTACTCACTCCCTTGCTGACAGGGGAGCCAGAGTAGGTTTCGTACGTGCCGAGCTGCGCTGCCAGCTCACAGCTGGCCTCCAGGGCGGCGTAGTAAATGGTCTCAAAGATCTGAATGTTGAGCAACTGGGCCTCTGGGCTTTCAAAGGGATAACGCATGAGGATGAAGGCATCAGCCAGACCCTGCACACCAATTCCAATCGGCCTGTGACGCTTGTTAGACCTCTCAGCCTGTAAAGCAGGACAGAGGAGCCATTCGTTAACAGAGCACATGAGACTCGGTTGTAGAGAAGCAACACTTGACAAGAGAGCATACCTCAATCACGGGGTAATAGTTGATGTCAATAATCTTGTTCAGGTTCTTGACAATGACTTTGGTGACAGATGCAAGCTTTTTGAAGTCAAAGGTCCTTTCTGGGGTGACATACATGTTGAGGGCAATAGATGCCAGATTACACACTGCCACCTGAGTTGAAGGAAGAACGAAACAAATGAGCATTAAGAAAAAATGTAACAGCTAATGTGAATATTGCAGAAACGTCTCCCGCCGCTCACCTCATCTTTGCTTGTGTACTCTACGATCTCCGTGCACAGATTGCTGGATTTTATGGTGCCCAGATTCTGTTGGTTGCTCTTCCTGTTGCAGGCGTCCTTGTAGAGCATGTATGGCGTACCAGTTTCTGTCTGAGACTCAATGATGGCGTGCCACAGCTGCTGAGCCTTCACCACGCGCTTAACCCTGCCCTCCTTCTCATACCTGAGGACAAACCGGACACATGGGACCGGTTAGTCAGCCCTAAGAAGTGAGCCGTTTGTTAGAAACAGAGGTTGGTGTGCCGGTCTTACCGAGTGTAAAGCTGCTCGAACTCCTCTCCCCAGCATTCCTCTAACCCAGGACTATCACTGGGACACATTAGAGACCAGTCCTACAAGAGCAGGAGAGGAACAATGAGACTTCCATCCTGTAATGTTCAAGGAGCTTCAAACTATCACAGCCACCAGAAAACATGCACTGTATTACAGAACATATAGCTTCATTCAAACTGTAACCGATGTGAGATGTGAGTCAGGGAGGTTGTTCCCTCGGCTATTCACCTGATTGCTCTCCACTCGTTTCATAAACAGGTCAGGGATCCACATGGCGAAGAACAGGTCTCTGGCTCTCTGCTCCTCTTTACCGGTGTTCTTCTTCAACTCCAAGAAGTCGAACACATCGAAGTGCCACGGCTCCAGGTACACAGCGAAGGCCCCGGGTCTCTGAACAAGCAAACGCAGAGGGCAAGGTGATGAAACCTGCTCCCAGAGGTCTCTCCAGAGCAACAACGCCAAGCTCCATTACAGTGTGGGCTGCAAATCTCTACCTTGTTCCCACCCTGGTCAACGTAACGTGCTGTGTTGTTGTAGACTCGAAGCATAGGAACCAGCCCATTGGAAATGCCATTAGTCTGAAAAACCAGAATCACCGTAAGTCATACAAAAATAACAACAACAAAAAACAAAGCTCCTCTATATCTGTTTGATTTGAATCCCCGCAGTGTGCATTTAACTCACCCCAGCTATATAGCTGCCCGTTGCTCTGATACAGCTAACGGCCAATCCAATACCTCCAGCTGTCTTGGAGATGAGGGCACACTGCTTCAGCGTGTCGTAAATACCCTCGATGCTGTCCTCTTTCATGGCGAGCAAGAAACAACTACAAAGAACACAAACGCATTAGATTAGAGAGGGAAACAAAAGAACGCATCAGAGATTTGTTCGACTTGGCTTACGTTACCTTGACAGCTGTGGCCTGTTGGTGCCAGCATTGAACAGAGTAGGGGAGGCGTGGGTGAACCACTTCTCTGACAGCAGGTTGTAGGTTTCAATGGCTGCATCAATGTCTCCTTGATGAATCCCGACAGCCACTCTCATTAGCATGTGCTGGGGCCTCTCAGCAACTACAGAAAAAAAATACGAGATTTAGCAAATAAACAATTTCAAGTATCCCCAAAACACATTTCTTGCGTCTCTGCGCACATAAACACGCTTCTCAAGAAGCTACAGGGAAATCAACTGTCACCTTTGCCGTTAATCTTCAACAAATACGACCGCTCAAGAGTCTATTGGAGCAAAAGGGCCGAATTAGGTTTATGATTCAAGAATCTGCTCGAGATGTTGAATGTAAAATGAAATAAATTACCTTAAAACCAAAGAAGTTGTAGGAGAAGTCTCTGTCGTAAATGATGGCTGAGTTGAGGCGCTGCAAAAGACAAGATATATTATGTTAAAAAATGCTTAACATAGTTACAATGACTTTAAATTAAAAAGAAACATGAACAAAATGCCACAGCATGTGACTTACACCCTTGTTTTCCAGTACAACGGCATGCATCTCCTTGGAGATCATAGGCGAGTGGCGTTTATTTAAGGGGTTCACATAGTTGTAGAGGTCCTCCATCACATCTACACAAGCAAAGAGAGTTCCCAATACCAGAATATCAGTACTCATAATTTAAACACTTTAGCAATGTACAACCAATCATGTCAGGGTTTCTCGTAAAGAGGGAATCGCTATACCACAATGTGCAGCATCATCATTTACCGTAAGATTGGCTAAATTAATGTATAGTGCATTAATGGTGCTATTTTTTATTTTAAATGCAAAGTCATATTTATAAACACATTTATTACATACGCAAAAATCACACATCTTGCATCAGAGCGTCGTATTTTCTATGGTAACTTCAAACTTGTACTCACCACTGAATACTTTCTTGGTTTCTTTGTGGAGATTGGAAACGGCAATCCGTGCAGCCAGGAGTGCATAGTCCGGGTGTTTGGTGGTGAGGGTGGCAGCGGTCTCTGCTGCCAGAGTGTCCAGCTCCACGATGGTGACTCCACTGTACAGACCCTGGATCACCTTCATTGTAATCTGGGTCTGCAGAAGCAGAAACAGAGAAAAAGGGCATGTGGTAGAATATCACTGAATTGGAGAGTGGCTCGTTTACTTTACTTGATGTTTCTTTTCTTTTTGAACTTGATGGTTAGCTTTAGAGTGGTTTGAACTCACAGGGTCCACAAAGTCACAGTTGAGTCCATAGCAAAGCTTCTGAATGCGAGATGTGATTTTATCAAAAGTAACTCCCTCCTGGCGTCCATCTGAAATATAAAAAAAAATAATTTGTTATTATTTAAACTTATTCAGGCAATTTCTGAGGATAGTTGATGAATATAACTAGTAAACACACAAGAACTATCCGTGCCCTAGCTGTTGTATTGATCCCCTCTCCTGATCAATTATCTCAGATGAAGCGCGCGCTCAACACCTGTCAGTTATTGACCAACGTTGCTACTTCGCGCCAATACCAGAGATGCCAAACAAGATTAAAATAATACTCTCCTTACACATTCATTAAAGAGGAAAGTTGTCAAAGCCTTTACTATAAAAAAGAGGGAGGGGGTAAACATCAAAGGCTAGAGAACAATGGAAGTGAAATTAAATTTAAAGTCTCGGTTGTGACGGTGTTGTTTCTATTTTTTTAAATATATATATGCGAAACGTTATTCAAAATAAAGGTTGGCAACCAACCTGCAAACTAAGACAGATAAAGTGTCAGCTTTTGTCCTCTCATAACTCAAGTCTTTGTTTGGTGTGAAAACACACCTCACAAAGAAACATAAAACACTCTTTAACATGACAGAAACTGAGCTGAACACTAATGTGCAGTATTTCTTTGGAGTATTAACATGTATCGCATCTTTAAAACATTCAAGTATTTTTCCAGGACCTCGACATCCCCGGCACCGTAATTTACTCGAGTATTCGCGAGTAAAGTTACACTACTTAAAACGTGAAGCTACTATACCTCTCTTAATGACATGCATGTTGGCAACAAAGCAGCTGCTTTCCTCAGACAGCAGTTGTTAATGTTATCTTCTCAGCCTCCAAACAAATAAAACGGCTGTGGTATAACGTTAGTTGTTGTAGCAGGTTATTACACTGAGCACAATTGAATCACACAGTTGAATCTTAAACGGAGGGCGCCAACGACCCACGAGCCAGTTACACGACGGCGTGTCAGCGGCTCAGCCAATCAGAGGAGACTCAGACTTTTGAACCAATCACATCACGATCAGTGATATTTACTTCTTACGTAGTTTCCGGGTAAATCTGGCGGGATATTGGATACTTCAAAACAACAGATTTGATAGCATGTAAGTATCCTCTCTTATTGCAGCAGCAGAATACGGTTTGCTTCATATGTGCTGTGTGTGGCAAAATACAAATCTCCAACAACCACATATGAGTGTCACATAAGTTATAAACGAGGTGTGACTCACAGAATCATGTGTATTTCCCTCCTTACATGATTACACTCATACATTTTAAGATATCAATACTCTGCAATATAAGCAAAATAGCAAGAATATACATAATGTGTAATATTCAATAAAGGTATTAGAGCAGTACACCTGGTGTTACAGCCATTACAGCTATAATAATCAATTTTACGTCCTGCACCATTTAAGAAATGTAAAAAAATAAAAATAAAATGACATGAAACAATAAACACAGCAAATAGGACAGCATGAGTAGCATACTCATCGCACTGATATTGATATTCATTTGTTTAACCCCCTCACAAGTACAGTTTGATGTATTCAGGTTTTGTAAAAATCTGATTATTTATGACTATCCAACACTAATTACAACTTGCAAGTTATAGCTTGACGAGACACATCGACTAACAAATACAGAAAGTCACAGCTTTACTATTACTACATTATTCCCGAGTTTTATTTTGAAGAAAGAAAACCTAAAGAAGACCGGATGTGAACCTCTTAGGTTTGTTGCTAATGCTAATGGCCCGGAACGGTAAAGCAGCACTCCGAAGATGGCCGGAGTGTTTGAGGTGGAGGTTGATGGTGTAGAGCACGACCATGGGTTACAACACCACAACCATGGGTTACAGCATCACGATGAACCGCACCAGGTGAGAGCTGTAAGCTACAGCGAGGCATTGTGACAGATTCAAGAGACGACAGTGACTTAATACTGGAGTTCTAGCTGCAGGGTTTATTCCCGGGTTTAGCGTAACGTAAGCAGCTAGCTACTGTTCAGCGATCTGTAACCAAGCACATGCATGGCGTCTAGATATCAATGTGTTGTCCATGGTACGTAACTGAGGGTGCTTTGTTCGACAAAAACAGCAGTGCAAGCGAGTAACGCCCCGAGAGCGTTAGCTATCCTAAGCTAGCTAGCCGGCTAACGTTCAAATCCTGCAACTCAACTTCGTAGCTTTAATTTGTTCAAAGTAGCTCAGGCGCTGTTGTTTGAAAATAAAGTTAGCATTTATTTAGATATTTTTCACACCCGTATATTCACTGCTACGCTCTGAAATGAGCTCCACAAATAAAGCTGATGTGGCTGACAGGGTCAAAGGTCACGTGGTGCCGTGTCTGTGCTAAGGGCCAAGAGGTTTGTATCGGTGTCAAGACAGGGGGGGGCACCAAACCACTCCCTGCGGGGTTTCAATCTTCTGGTCAAACCAAACCTGGATGTTAAACTGATGTCAGTGTAAAAGAAACTCCATAAAGTGAACTGAAACGAATTAAAAGTTATGACAGTCGGTCATGAGTAGGTGTAGTTACCTGGCTGGCGTCACAATAGGCTGACAAATTACACATCACATCCTAATGTTGGGTTCACTTGTTTAAGGGTTTGAATGGAAAACTGTAACTAGTGAACTTGATGTGTCTTGATGATTGATGTTGTTTTGCCTCTTGTTGTGTAAAGTGGTTAGAGTGCCTACAAGTACTCAAATAAGTATTTGTCAATCAAGTGTAAAGAGACTTTTGCATATGTTGAAATTTTAAAAAGAGGCAAATGATGACTCAAACAGGAACTTGCCTCACACGTAGCAGCAGGATGTGTGATTTGAATAAGAAATAGTTGTGAACCTGTAGCTGGATACCTGTTTTGGCAGATAGGCAGCTTTAATAACAAGAGAACATTGCATCGGTTATGGCTGGCAGCTGTTCATTTCATTCAGGTTAAAGTAGCCAAACAAGCCCAACTTCTTGGGAGGGACTGACCTGCTAAATGCATGTGGTGAGTTCTGATAACTTAACTGGTAAATATAGATATTTGGGAGGGTTGTGTGTACGACGCAGCTGTGACGCACACCCATCTTGTATCGCTGCTCAAAACTTAAATGTTTCAATTCAGTTAGTTATTACATAATGCTGTGTAATTGGTAAGCAATGTAAGGAATAGGGGTTTAGAATTGGGCGAGAGGTGACGCTCGACACAATGGTTTGGTGTTATTATATTATTGTTTCTGTGTTGTAATGGTCATTATTTTGTCTCATTTCCTTTCTTTAGTTTGATGTGTCCAAGCTTTCACCAGAAGAAAAGTGGAGGTTCGTATCTTTGCCACACCTTTAATGGATGATGCATTTATTTTTGTAACGTATTATAATATGATTATTTTCTCTCTGAGATGCATTTGAATAGATGGACCATTAATCTGTACAACAAAATTCAGTTTTTGCAGAGTAACATTTGCAGGCATTTTCATTTGTTAATACACAAGGTTTTTGGTAAAGAAAATAACTCTTTATATCCCAATCGAGAACTTTAGGTATTAAAGTTGACATGTTTCAACCAGTTCAGATTACCATTACACCTTTAAGGGCACACCCTCCTGCATTGTTGTGGGAAAAAAACAACAAACTGCTCCTAGATACGTAACATTAGTTGAGTATATTTTTTTGTTTCCACAGGGTGGAGCATGCAAAAATGCATGCCAAACACAAAGGTCACGAGGCCATGCACGCAGAGATGGTGCTGATCCTCATCGTCACACTTGTCGTCGCACAGCTAGTCCTCGTGCAATGGAAACAGAGACATCCAAAGTCATACAATGTAAGACACATAAATCCACTTGTTTGAGATGTCTATGTGAAGTTTGGAAATGCCATCATGTAAAGACTCATAATTAAGGGGGGGGAACACACACTAGCACAGTGTTTGTTTTCTGTCCGTGAGTCAACACATGGTGTATCGTATAAATGGATATCAATACTCATTTCCTCAATTCAGGATGAATTTGTTTTTTTTCCTTCTTGTCCCAATCTATCCAAATATGAAATGGTGCCAATAGCGTCCACTTGTGATTGTTTAAACATTTCCGAGGATCACCTTCCAAAGAAAAATATAGGATTTAATAAGAATAGGTGAAAAAATATGGTGGGCTATGAATGTGTCGGCTGTAATGACCAAAATACATCATCTGCTTACCCTCACCCATAACTGCCTGCCATGATGAATCAAACTTCATTGTATTCAGGGTCATATTTCCTCATCAGTAGCGCCGCAGCCCACAAGATGGCGCTCTGCAGCCCACCAATGTTGTCTTTGTGAACAGCTGTTCTAACGTGTGTGTGCTCTGCTGTCTTGTAGCTGGTGACTCTGTTCCAGATGTGGGTAGTTCCTCTCTACTTTACTACCAAACTGCACTGGTGGAGGTTCCTGACCACGTGGTTTATCTTCTCTGTCATCACAGCGTACATCTCTTTCCGTGCCACTCGCAAGCCACTAGCCTGCACCACGCCGAGGTATAACGTCGTTTACACATAATCCAGAGCTGTAAATTGAACTATCCATGACACACTCTTCACATATTCCTTCTCTTTGGCGACTGTAGGTTGGTGTATAAGTGGTTCCTCCTCCTCTACAAGATCAGCTATGCCACGGGAATAGTTGGCTATAGTGTCGTCATGTTTACACTTTTTGGTATAAACCTAATATTCAGGTATGTATTGTTCGTTCCATGTTATTTCAGTGGCGCTAAATGAACCATAACCAAACATTTCGGTGGATATTGACTTACACCATTGAAACTATAACCCTTCAAAACTGCAGGCTGCTGTTGACGGGAGTAGTCATCGTTTCCATCTTGCCATTTTAGGATGTATAAAGTTCAGTTTCTTCCTTCCTGCTTATCTTTAATATCCCTTTTGATCATCACTGCTCCTGCAACATCCACCAGTTATCTGAATCCCTAATTGATAAGTGCTTTACTCGTTTCATTCTCTATTAGAAGTATTGTCTTTTTAACCACGAAAGCACTGCTATGATCCAGCACGTACCAGGATGATAGAATTAGACTAAAAAGAAGAAATGACACTCTTTGACTGCCTGTTTCATGGTGTTTACATAAAGGCTGAGCTTAGGTGTACGTGTTTAAAGGTAAACTGGTTGTATGAGAAGTAAAGTATGATAAGTTTAAAACACATCGTCACTGTAACATGCTGTCATTCTCAATGACATACAAACATGCGTAGCTATCATAGAAACTTCCCTTTAGACAAGGAAAGGGCAAATGTCTATTTTCTTTGTTCCCAATGGTCAGAGGAATTAGAGCTTTATGTTTTATGCTGACACAGGAAGTGTTAAAAAAAAGCCTAATATGGTAGTACTCTCACTGAAGCCTCAGGGCTGTGTTTACAGGTTATGTAGCTACTAGGCGGTTATTCATTTACTGACAAAGAAACTAACAAAGTCTATTTTAGCTGCATTAGTTTAGTGAAGCTGCACCTTCTAATTGGTTAAAAACGGATTCTATATTGACGGTTTTCAAACTAAATGAAGAGGTATATACGTATGCACAATTTTTCACAGTTAATTCAAAATGAGGACCTTTCCTGATCATAATCCAAAATGGACTAACAGGAAAGTAGCGAAACGCTTCCTATTCGATGGTCCAACAATTTTCCACTTCCTACATGGAAATGCCCCCTAACTTGAATACTTCCTTGCATTTAGATTTCTCAATTTCCTGCAACAGCTGATCATCAAAACAGATTTTTTTTTTTTAGCTTTTATATGCACAGACAAATGTGTAAAAAGGTGTTTTGGTTGATTCAAAATATTTTAGCTTTACACCAACATTCAAGAACTTAAAGCGAATGAATGGTATCTTCCAAAAATGTAATTTTTTACTGTACACTGAAAATATAAAGCAGACATATCACCTGAGGCCGGATCCCTTCATTCAGTGCCATTTCTGTCCAGGATAAAACCAGAGGACGCGATGGACTTTGGCGTTTCACTGCTGTTCTACGGGCTGTACTACGGGGTCCTGGGGAGGGACTTTGCAGAGATGTGTGCAGACTTCATGGCTTCAACTGTTGGGGTAAGTAGACAGATTGCAGACCCTGTTTCTTTGGAGATAACTGCTGTAAAATATGTAATTTGGGCTGATATCTCTTTTTCTGTTTTGTTTCAGTATTACAGTGCATCTGGCATGCCAACCAAGCACCTCTCTGACAATATCTGTGCTGTGTGCGGTCAGCCCATCCTTGTCGATGTCAGTGAGGAGGGGATTATAGAGAACACGTATAGGTTATCCTGCAACCATGTGTATCCTTCCCTGTGGGACGTAGACATATTTTTATGATGCTATCTTTTTTTTTTATCAGTGAAAGAGAAGTTGAGCTAAACGAGTATTGCATGTCTATAAAATGCGTAGTCATCTTTGTTCGTTTGTGTCGGAACTGTATTGTGTACTGTATTAGCTGCTTAAAGGGGAATTGGCAGGCGTTATCTAACTTGACCTTTATGTCAGACTGTTCATCTAAATTTGTATTACTTCCCCATGGTAGTCTCCTGCTGGGCGTGTCCACTGTAAATAACATACAACCGTTTACAGATTAGCATAGAGAATTTCATGCTGCGAGTGAGAACTATATAGAGCCCAAATCATACATTTGCAGGCTGCTATAATTGGCTGATATGCCAATTAAAGGCTGATAGGAAAAATATATTTCAGTAGGATATTGTAGGCCGCAGGTTGGTCATTTCGCAGCTGGATTTAAGTTATTCGCAGCTTGGATTTAAGTTATTCCATGAAAGTTGAATTTCAAATCAAATCCTGTTTATTTGTCACATGCATTTCAGTAGCTGTAGTGAAAGGCTTTTGTGCCTAGCTTTAGAAAGCAACTTACTAATAATATAAGATATAATAGAATATTATACAAAGAAATGCAAGAAAAAGCATAATTTGCAAATAAGTGCCTTGTTTGCTTGGTCAGTTCCTGTTTTCTTTCTGTCCTTAGAAGGTGCTAATATAGTTTTCCTGCTTTTTTTTTTTTCCATTTAATTTTTTTGCATATTAACGATCAAACAGGTTGATGCACAATGGCTACTATATTAATACATTTTCACATTTCAAATGCTGCCCAAAAGTACGTGTTTTCAAAGCAATGCCATTTAAGCCAGCATTTGAACTGATGCTCTACAATACAGTGCCGAGCCTTAACTCCACATCCAGGTTCCATGAGTTTTGCATAAGGGGCTGGTGCATCGTCGGAAAGAAGCAGATGTGCCCGTACTGCAAAGAGAAGGTGGATCTGAAGAGGATGTTCAGTAACCCGTATCCTTTTTAATCATTTTATCTTGTTTCTGTGCTGCATTATCTCACTGTTTGTTTGTGAGTATCTTAACGATTCCTGAGTTAATTGTTGTAATTTTAGAAATCGCATATAGTAATGTGCACGTATAGACTGAATAGAGGATAGAACTCATTTAAATTGGGCCAGCGTTCAGGAACCCTAGTCATGCCAAGTTACAGGAGACATCTTTCTTGTAACGGGAGGGAGTTTTGTAGTCATTGTAGACTAGTTGGAACGAGATATGGAACATTTATAAGTTGTGCACCAAGTTCCTGTTCCTTTTTGTGGCTCAGAGTTTACGCTTCAGACAACGGTGCCACTCTATGTAAAAACCCTGAAAGTGGCTTCTACCTCCTCTTGGCCGTGTGCCATCAGCTGCATGTTTATGAAGGCTTTTTGTATTGGCACCCTTTTATTAACAGGTATTGATTGCTGTTGAGTCCTTAACCCATTTTGTTTCAGTTGGGAGAGGCCACACGTCATGTATGGACAACTTTTAGACTGGCTCCGGTACTTGGTGGCCTGGCAGCCTGTTATTATTGGATTTGTGCAAGGCATCAACTACGTCCTCGGTCTGGAGTGACCTGCGACTGTCACAACATGGACACACACCCCATACGGAGATGATATGCACTGGCTCAAAAGACTGAGTGCCTAACATCGAACTAAAACACCAATTAAAATTGTCTATACTTTTTTTGTATATATTTATAGGCACATACTCTCTGTATTTACAGTTCTTTTGAATTTTATTGGTAACCTGAATTTGGATGTCTTATCAATTTCCCAGGATTTGCTTCACACAGCGTTACACCTTGATGATTGGTTTGTGCAACTTCTGGCCTAGTAAAGTGGTTCTAAAAATCATTAGAGAGGTGCTTTTTACTGATTTATGTCTTAAGTGTTTGTTAATTATTAGTTCAACGGTCATGCTGGAGGTTTTCATCCTCATGTCTGATGACTCTCGCACACGAGTAATAAAGATTGAATGGAAATCAACGCAAGTAATTGCTCCCTGGGCCTCCAAAGTACATTTACAGTGTCCACAGATGGGGTACATCTTGCCGCTGTGTATCTTATGTAATCACTCGTACGGACTCAAGTGACAACAGTGAGTTTCCTATGTGCAGCCAGTCATGCATCGTCGTCATGGGGGAAAAAAAAAAAGTGCTATTTGTAGTTGAACAGAGAATTCCTCATAGAGCAGTTGATAAAAAGGAACTGTTACAGGATTTCAAAATGACCTCACTGTCTTCGTGGACTCTTCTATACCAACAGATTTACTTTGACCCTTGTGCTATATCTGTGTCACTAAGTTTCTATGAGTGGAGGAATGTCACTGTCCAAACGAGCTCTTCTGTTTTCATTCCCACAGTTCACCGTTTGTATTTAAATTGTAAGTCCACAAAAAACAACTCGCCTGTGGTTGTATCTTGCCTTGTTGATAGTTCTGGGTTTTCGGCAGCTTTTCTTCTTGGGAACTACTTTCTACAAAAGAAATGGTTCCTGTAAAACGTGTGTGTTCTGTAGATTATTCTAGATGCCTGGAGTGACATGTTGCTGTTTTTTTTTTAAAGGTAATTTTTTAATGCTGAGCACTACTAACTAGATTGAACTCACCTTTGTTATATTGTGGTGGTGGCTGAAATCGCAGAGATGTCCCAAAGCCTGCCTTCTAAAACCCAAACTATCTGCATAGGCTAAATACCACTAGACGTAAGTAAAAAAATATATAGTTATTAAATATTGGTGAACATAAACTGTTCTGAAATTGGGGCGAACCAGGAAGCACAAACCAAAGCTGATACACCAGTTAGTAACTTAACTAAAACTATTGACTGTTCAAACTACAAATGGTTGGAAGAGGTAAACAAAAACATTGTAGAATGATCCTTTAACTCGGTGAGCGTTGATGATTCCAGTCTTATTTTCATATGATCTGTTCAAGCCAAGGCCCCAAGGCCCCCTTTATATGTCTTTTCTAACCAAAGATGCTGAAAGGTGGTTGTATTTTTTTTGTGTGCAGGTACACATGCCAACTCAAACAGAAAAGGGACTGTACAACGAGGCTAACATGATCATTTTGTTTTGTTGATCGGTTAATAAATGTCACATGGTTTGGATCGTCTGTATCTTTCTTTGCATCCTTGAGGTTTATTTTTCACTTAAAGTCAAGTTGTTGTCCACTGAATGACATATATATGTACATATAGAGGGAGAGAGAGAATTTGAATCACAAGACAGAGCTGTAAATTAGTCAGCATGTTTGATTTAAGTAACCAGTGTGTGTCAACGAACATGCACAGACTAGTTTTGAGGAAACCCCCACGTACTAAATTTGAGTGGGCGTAGGGAAGTGAATTATGTTTGTGTGTGTATATATAGTGGATCCAAACAGCAGTCAACGGCAGAAAGCTCTCACTGGACGAGTCGATATGAAGCCGTCTTCGGTTGTCAAAGGTAATGATACTCGGTAATACCAAACAGTCATTTTCACTGTACTGTGGGATTGGTTGTGAATATGTTGTATCTCTGCACCAGCTTTCGGATATCTGTGTCTGCTGGTTGCAGATGGATTTCCAGGTACAGTACATGTTGTGGGTGACTGATTTATTTTAATGTAATGGTTTTTTGCTAACTTAAATTTGCTCTTCAGTTCCTCAGGATGAATCTCCAAAGATCATCGGGCCACATCGCGTCAAAGTGAAAGCTCATCCAGGTAACACTTGTGCACATCACCACCATGTGTTTTGGTATTGACAGCTGACAGAATCTGTTCTTGGGTATTATTTCGTGAAGCTCTTTGTGTGTGATGGGTCTGGTTGTATTCTGACTCACAGGGGAGCAGCTGTTTCTTCACTGTGAAGCGTTTACAAACTGTAAGGATGTGACGCTCATCTACTGGCTCGTCAACGGCTCTTTCCCCGAAGACCTGCTCAGCAGCGGCAGAATATTAGAGTCAGAGGAGTGAGTATTAAGAGTTTTTACTTTCATGGAAGTCACCCTAACAGAGCATAGTTTTAGCCATTTAAGTGCATTTATCAACACACAATTTGAGTGCATTTCCTTTCAAAGTTCTGCTGTTAGAAAGCAGGACAAAGCAATGATTGATGTAACATCCCGGAACCGACCTGCAGCCGAGCTGTGACGACCCGTGTCTGTTTTAGATCGACTTTGGATAACGGTGCGATCCTACAGAGGAGTTTGATGTTGAAGAATGTCACGTCGGAGGACCTCAAATCCACCTTCACCTGCGTTGTGACGAACGCCTCCGGAATGGTCCAAAAGAACATAGTGTTAGTGGCAAGAGGAAAAAGGAGAAGACACTGAATTGTGGGATGCTCTGTGCCACGTTTCACTTGCCAATTAACTCATATTTTACAAGAATCAAATGGATCTGTGAATGTACTATCATTGTACTGTTTCATGGGAGAACTGTGCCAATCAAATGAAGAAATGTAACAAACTTGAGGTGCGTTTGGTTCCAGAGTAGTACGTTGTTTCTTCTCAGATTGTTTCCCATCAATGATGCCAAAAGTGACTCATTGTGATACTCTGGGAAGGAAGCACTTTATAGGCGAAAGCAAACACAAACTGGAGCACATTGTTTCTTTCTCCTAATATAAATTTGACGCAGCATTTTGAGGATAGTCCTCCTTATCCAAGGAAACAATGTCCAGAGGCAACATTTAATGTTGAACTGAATGCACCTTAAATTAATGTATTTTAGATGACTAAAGAATAAATATAGAATATTTTATTTCTAGGGTATTTACTATGTTTGTGTATCATTCCAGTGTCTGCCATCTTATATGTGTAAACTTTTGAAACGTATAAAAATATGCTCCACGATGAGACAAAGTATGATGGAATCCTGTGGTTGTTTCCCTCAAGATTTATTGTTAGTTGTTTTCAACGGTTATCAGCAACCGGTACTTTCAGCGATGAGAGAAATTAGAGTAGCGATACTTTTTAGCTATGTAGGATTCTCAGCTCTTCAATGTGAATATACTGCATTACACACATAAATGATAAACAATATCAAGCACAAGCTGGCAACACAATTAACAAATGAATAATGATCACAAAAAAATATTTGATTGTATAAAAACAGGAAAAAAAATGGAACTCTCAAAATAAGGCCCCTTATTATTGTTAAGCGTCTTTAACACACCTTGAATCTGCATTCTCTTGAAAGATTCTGTCTCCACGTCTTTGGTACATCCGTGTAACTTAAGTAGCGATTAGCTTCATTAGTGTATATGTTGGTTGAATAGGAGAGAACCGTGTTTCTCCGTCAGGCACATGTCGAACAGTTTTCCTCCATCTGGAGTTCATTGGAAGCCTTGATGGTTATTTTGAATCAAAATTTAATTTTGCACATAGATCAGCGTTTTAAAAGAGTCTGCTCAAACGGATGTGGTCTCTGAGGCTCACGACTTCAGCTCTTCCAGGCAGCGCGTCAAGTTGCCGTTCCTGCCGGGGTACTGATTTTCTCTGATCCTCTTCTCGATGAGCGCAGTAGTGTCTTCAACGACCGTTGGCCACTTTACAGTAGACGTGCAGAATGGCTCGAGGAGTCCCAGGTTGGTCTTGAGACCCATTCCAAGCAGGAAACGTAGGAAAATGTCATATTTCCCATCGTCATATCGCAGGCTGCTGTCCACGGCGCTCTTGTACAGCTCTATCGCCGTGTGCCCCTTGAATATCCCCTTGAACCGGTCTTTCAGCTGCTGCTCAAAAATGTTCTTCCCCTGGTTCGTAAAGTAGAGAAACACATAAAGGGCCGCCAGGTACTCTTGCATGGTAGGGTGGATAAAGCTGATGACTTTCTCGTGACACAAGACAAGTGGACTCCTCATGTATTGTGTGCAGAGGCCACTGTTAATCACCACCTCCTCGTCATTGACTCCAGTCTCTTCCCAGTCGTACTTTGAGATCTTGAACTTGCCTCCTTCCAGCATGTCGAAGGCCAACTTTCCAACTTTCATGAGGAAGTCCCTCTCTTTGTTTAGGCTACGATTTGGAGCCCTAAATGCGCGACGCGGTCGGATGAGTGCAAGCAGCAGCTTGGTGTACATGTAGGTGATGTTCCTGGGTGGCTCTGCCTGCGTCGCCCGATTCCTAAAAATGGGCTGGAACTCATCTGCCACCAGTGAGCAGAACAAGGGCAGGTGGCACATGATGCGGAGGGTTTTGGAGGAGTTGATGTACGCAATAACTCGAGCTGCTTGATCCGGGTCCGTGAACCTCTTCTGAAAGTACTCGTCCTTTTGAGGGTCGAGGAAACCGCGCACGTCTATCTCATCGTAGTGCGTATCGTAAGGGATGCAGTGCCTTACCTGCGACCGAGAGAAGACCAGCAACAGGCTGCGGAAGAGCAGCCTCTCTCTGAGGAGGTTGACCACGATGACGTTCAGGGTGGTAGGATCTTTGAGGTCCCTGAGGATGGAAGTGTTTTGAAAGTCGAGCTCCCCGTTGTACTCATCCAGACCGTCAAAGATGAACATTATTTTGCCGTCGTCGCAACTGTAATCTTCATCCCTCAGTTTCTTGGTTGCTGGGTAGAGTGTTTGTAATATTTCCACCACGGAGATCTTAGAGTTCTCAAACTGTTTGAGTTCTCTGAACGACAAAGGAAACAAGAAGGACACGTGCAGGTGGGACTTCTCTTCAATCCAATCGAGGACTAACCTTCTGACTGCCATAGACTTCCCTGACCCGGCAACTCCTGTGACCAGCATAAACTTAAAGTGTTTGTGCTTCAGCCTTTCAGCGCTAAAAATGTCCTTGGTAGAAAGCAGTTTCTCTTTTTTATGGTTGCTGTCGAGCTTTTCTATGGTCACGACCTCGTGTTCAATATTTGGGCCATTGTCACATGTTGAGCTTATGTAAAGATCGGTAAAGACGTCGTCAAAGGGTCTCCTCTCTCCCTGCGGGTCAGCATCCTCACGCACTTCGCCGAATTTCTTCTTCAAATTCTCGCATAAATCATGACGTACTTCATCTGGAAAACAAAGAAAAATGTGCATCTCAATATGTAAGATTCTCTCCTTTCTTCCAAACGCACTTTGATCATTATCTCCTCTGCGTTGTGTAAATGTATCAATCCCTTTTCTGGAGATTAAATGATCAGACATTCAGACATACAAGAGCCTACTTACTTTTGATGCACAAAGTCTCGAGGTAATCAATCATCTTTGTTTGCCCAATGTCCTGAAGAAGGGTTTTGGTGATCTGCAAAGAGAACTCCAGGTTGAAACACTCGAGCAAGCGGTCCACAAGGTCCACCATGTCCAAGCCTTGGGGATGAGTGTTGAATGAGTGCGAGTAATGCTTCCACAGCAGCATCTTGAAGTACCTGATGTCTGCCTCAGACAGCTTCCCAAGGGTTTTAGAAATAGCCTGATTCCAAAGAAAGGATTCAATTCAATGCTGCCGTTTTCAACAAGAGGATGTCTTCTATATAATTTATTTAAAACTGATGGAGACAAGAGGGGAAAAGCAAACTAACCTTGAAAGTGAAGGCCACCGTCAGGGAAGGATGCCTAGTCTCATTTGGGTCTTGGAATAACTCAGGTTTGACAGGAAGCTCTGAGACGGTATCATCTTTGCATTTAAGCCTGGTGTGCAGTGGAGAGATTTAAAAAACACATTTTACTGTCAGTTCAGTGTGTAATCAAACACTTTAACATGTCAAAGTGATCATGACATGGGTTCGTTTCTTACTTGGGGATCATCTTTTCACAATCGTCACTGTCCAATGAGTAGCAGCTAGAGTAAGAATCTGCTCTGTTCAGCTGAACCCTAAAACCAGGAAGGATGACAAGAGGGCGTAAACTACTTTCAATTCAACTACAAGATTGATTGCAGTTTTCCAACTTTAAAAAGAAAGTGACAACAAGGTGCGGTATATTGAAAGGAACATACTACAAGCAGGAATGAATGCATTCATTTATAGACTTTAATTAAGCTTTGAATACTTCGTCTTGTTTGTACCTTGTGGGGGATCCATCTTCGTCACTCATGTGGATGGAGTCGTCCTCACTCGTCATTGATCTGTACCCCAGAGCTGGAGAAGAGGCCTGGTCCACATACTGCCTAAAAAAAGGAGAGTAGATACATTTATCACATTAAATTCAGCTATATTACATCAGCTATATTACCCCTATATTTAACTGCTGAGCTGCCACACCACCCTTGTTGTTACACATAATAAGGTGTAAGTAATATCTGTTTCACTTTGTACTGTACCATCTGTAGAAAGCAAATGATAGTATATGGGTAGTTGCTTCACTACCCTACAGTGAGTGCGAGAGAGGGCCCTTAGGGCTTGTAAAAATCTCCCTACCAGTGGCTGGTATCCATTGGACTCGGCCCCAGGTCCAGAGAGGGTCTTCTCTCAGGGATGTAGAAGAGCTCGTCGCCTTCATCAGACATACTCCGTCCTCTGCCGGACACTGCATCCCCGAGGGAAGAGCCTGACGGCATGGCCATCGCCTCCAATTCACTGTCGTCCATCATGTCATAGCAAACAACTAAGCAAACAACTAAGATTAGGGAGATCCCTTCTTGTTTTCCCAGGGATGGTCTCGGGGAGCTAACCTGCCTGTACCTGCAGAAGAACATGGGACAATGCAATATATCAGTTCTCAAATTCTCCATCAGTATATAGTAAGGAACTTTACACCAAACCAGATTTTCAGGTTTCTATACTGATAGATGCTTATTCAGTTTCTGCACTACGTTATAACACCACATTTAACTTGTAACAAGCACATTACATTCAATGTAACAGAAATGTCCTTTCAAAATAAAATAAATTACAATTTCAAATGTTACTCCCAGGTCGGTAACCACTGTAATAACCTAGCTTTAGGTCTGAAGGACATACGTGGCGTTAAAGAGGGATTTATTACCCCTGGGTTCATTTCACTTCCTCATTTTAACTTGAAAGTGCTGTATTGGGAAGCTAAAATTAAAAGTTAGACGCTTGTAAGTCTCTGGTTCGCTCTGGAGAAAAGTGCGTCTACCTTCATCGTATGTCTCATGTATTCACATGTTTTAAACTGAGGCTATATATCGTCCAGTCTGACCGACGGATCATGTTAATATAAGCAGCTTTAGCTAGCATAAATGGCCTGGTTTGACTTTTGGTCATGGCTATAGCCAATTATTTAAACTTCACTCTTCCGAATTGACTTCTCCACACGTGACATGTCAGTGTCAGACTATGTCAACGGGATTTTAAGATGCGTTTATGATTCAAGGTGAACGTTAATTCTGAATTTAGGAATGAAAAATACGTTGACAGCCCAGCGACAAACTGTCACAACAGGAGGGCTCAACCCAGGGATAAGGCAAGTTGTTGTTTTTTACGCTCAATAACATTACTTTCATAATGGCCCAAAGCGTTAAAATAAACGCAAAGGTATTTACATAAATACATTATTGCTACTTTCTGGTTTATGCCAAAAAATAACCTTAACTTACCCTCGTTTTAGTTCACTTCAGGAAATCAACATTTCTTCTTCTCCTATCGCCTGAGTAGCGAAACAATACAAGGCAGACACTCTCGCCACCTGGAGGCCGGAAGTGTGAACAACATGCACTCTTCTTATACAGTCTATGACGCAGCTGAACAGTGTAAACAGCGTGTAAATGTGTTTTTCCCGCTTTCTGTTCATCATCTCATGAATAGAAAGTCATACAATAGTTGTAGAAGTTGTTATGAAAAAACTGGCTGGTACCTTCTATGTTTGTGATGGCAAACATGTTAAATACTCAGAACAGTAGCCTATATGTGAAAACACTAAACAGAGGGTGCATGGCTGGCCAACTCAGGCCTAATTGCTGACTAAAAGAACTTGAACAGCTTCTAAAGCGTTCAGCATTGCACTCTTATAACATTGTTCATCTCACAATAAACAAAATAAATAAAGTTTTTAAAAAAAAGATCATAATCGATTTAGCTGAACCAGAGTTTTTGTCTACTTTACTCAACTCGTCTTGCTACATTTGACCCACAATACAGCTCGACTGCTGACAGTAGCGGCCTATGATAGCAACTAAAGCTAAGTTTATTATGTTTCCCCGAGTCACTAGCCTCACGTAGAGGTGAGGAGCAGGCCACAGAGGCCAGGTAAGGTCACCTCTTTCTAACTACACCCCCAGCTTGTTTTTTAAATTTTCAAACCTGTAGTCTTCTGCCCCACCAACGCTGACTCAGCTGGCATCACTTGAACCAACTCTGTCACCACAAATTGCTTTATACAATTTTTTTTTTTTTAGATGTCCAGTAGCACTCCCAAACCGACTCAATGTGTTGAACTGGCGGAGTTCTCCTTCAACTTTCTTTGTAATTGAAGTCTGTGTGGCAATTCATAAAGATATCTTTATTACAATCACTTCAACTATGTCAAAATCTGTTCAACATTAGCTAATGAGGAGAATGTATGTTTTTTTTTAATGCAATCCATTGGATATTTATTGCATATACCTTGACAAGACAAATCTTTTCATCTTAAGGTATGACACTGCTGTGATGCTGATACTGTGTATCAAATGCGTACTGTGAGTGTCTGTGTGCACGGCCAATGCTCGAATGTCCTTCTGGTTGGCATTTACTGCAAAATATGATTCATAAAAGTAAAAAAAAGCAGCAGCTGGTGTTTTATTAGAGCTGCCTGTGGTTGTGTTTCATAATTGTATATGTTACTTTCAAATTATAGGTGGAATCAAGTTATATTTTCAACTTCGCACTGCTGGCTTCCTTTCTTATTTATTTATGATTATTGATTATGTTGAATGTCAGTTCTAGCACTGCTGGGGTGATTGACAGTTTTCTTAATTGTATCACGTTATGCTATTTTGTTGCTTTTTTCCCTGAGAGTTTAAAATTGCAATGCAGCCTATAAGGCTTTTCATCATTTATTTGTGCTGTGTAAGAATCATATAGTTATTCTGTAAGTGTGCATGCGCTCATCAGTGTAGGCCTATTTATTTCTGATCTGGTATGAGAATCAGTTGAGATGTAGGCCTAGTCTTCGCTGTACGAGTGTCCACGCAGTGACTAGCCTTACACCCTAAGGCTGTTTACCAATACAAGGAAAAAAGCGAGGCGCATGTCAGCTTCCTTGTCTCGTTAGTGACCGCTACACTGCGCTTTGTGTGATGGAGGCGTGAGCAGCGACAAAGACGGCAGGAGGAAACAGTGGAGTGTATGAGGGATGATTAGTGCCCAAAGGATTTTAGGAGAAAGAAAAGAATCGTTCTCAGGATAGCCATTGTGTTGGATTTATTAGTGGGCCAAAGCCATTTTGAGGCTGTCAGACATGAGCGGGTTTTGTTCCTTTTATTTAAACATGACATTTTCTAAATGTTTGCATAGAAATGGGATCAAGGTTTCAAACTAGACTATCACAGAGTTTTAATGAACAAAAGATTGTGATATGGACTTAAGTCCCCGCGGCAAATCTGAAATTGGCCAAAAAAGCCTACTACCATCAATATCCACACAAACACAGAGATTGGAAATGTACTGCATAAACATATTTGTAGACATGAAAACAACCTGCTTGGGTGCAGCCTCAGACTGACCTGAATGCTTCTGCCATTGCCATGGTAATCAATGTCAAAATGCATTTGTTTTATATATATAGCCTGCATTACTCCAGTAATCTAGAATAGCCCACGAAATAAGGAATAATAATCACATTATTTGTTATGCATCAGCATTGATTATTATGAGTTATTCTTAGACTAGTGTGCTGTTTGTTGTGTGTAGAGGGTGTGTGTGTGTGTGTGTGTGTGTGTTGTTTCAGCGCTGTCCCGGCCACTGAAATGCAGTGAAGGAGATTGATAGATGGTCTCAGCATTGCCAAGTCTTTTTTTTTTTTGATGTTGGCATAGGCTACAGTCTATTAGTTCATTCATCTGTTCTACAATTTATTCATTTGTTCTACAAATTAATGAAATTGTTTTCATGGGCATTGCTGTCATTTATTAGATACGATTATCTCACCTTTTTTTTTTTTTTTTAGCAGTTTTAGCTTAAATAAATAGGAAAATCCTTGAAGTCCAATTTATATCCTCATCTCTCAGACAATAATGGCAAAGTAAAGTACACTATCAGTAAATAATGGCCTCAAGTTTGAGGAAAGTACAGCTTGTGTTGTTGCTGTCATCGTCGCCCCGGCATTTAAATGCATGTGCTTACCTGACTTCAAGCCCGATGGCCTGATGACGTAAAAGGGCTCAGGAGACTCGGGTGGAAATAAATAAAATAACATTTAGTTTGGCACTCCTGACTGAACTGTATCTCTTACTGCCTGACAAAGGGATGAGTGAGAGGTGACTGACTGTGTGAGAGAGATTGCTACAGTGAGCCGGCCTGTAACTTTTGGTGACGCAATTTCCGCAACGTATATAACGCAAACATATTCGAATATTCCTCGCTGAAGCTTCGAAGCACCAACAACGTTATTCGGGACAGCCAGTGCAACCACATTTGAATCTGATCGAACCAATTAAGAGCTATGGGTGCATGCATGTTGGGCCCATGGACGGCCTGTAAAACCACGGGCTCTGGTACAACTGCATTGCCATTTCCACAACGGGCGTGGTGCCTATATGTTGGATGAGATGTGTGATTGCCCACATCGACAGTAGGGAGGAGAGTTTTATTTCTTAAATGATGTAGAAGTATACCAATGAACAGATATGTATTCCTACCACTACACTGTGGTTAGATGGACAGTGATACCGAATGATTAAAAAAAACAACCCCTCAATTACAGTATTTTTCTTTTAATAAAAGTCAGCACTGTCCCAATATCTGCTTCTTCATGTAAGTGTTGCCACTCAGCCACTCTTTACATGAACTCCTCTCTTATTCTCACCATTAATTCCCATCTCCTGCCTTTTTTTTTTTTGGTGTGTGGCACTAATCACCCGTCATACATACTTCGCACGGTGAGGGATGTGACTCCATGTCTGAGGGAGGATGCTCAGAGCGAACCCAACCTTTCCAGACCCCAGTATGAAGTGACAGTCTGTGCGTTGTTCTCCCCTGCTCTGGATGGTACTGGGATATATTTTGGAAGGGGGGTCGGGCAGCAGCGACCAACCGGCATTACCGCCACTGAGCCTGACATGAATCACAAGTAAAAGAGCTCTTTCAAGCGAGCAAACAGCTCAGGAATGTGCAAGTCTGCCGGGCTGCACTCAGCGTTCTCTAAGCGATATTTTGGATGTTTTGGACCTACCTCGTTTTGTTTATAAACTCAGCAGCGAAGACTACAGACTGTCCTTTAATTATACGTAAATTTCTATTGTTTTTTTCTTTATTTTGCAAAACATTTTTGAGGGTGGGGGGTTGGATTTGTTGTGGGTGTGTTTTTTTTCTTTTGTCAAGCGTGAACAAGACAAACTTCTACCATGGCACTGGTTATGGAGCCCGTGAGCAAGTGGAGCTCCAGTCAAGTGGTTGACTGGATGAAAGGTAAGGCTTCAGGCACGACGGTAGCCAAATAGAAAACTGATACCGCCAAACTGCGATGTTGCAATGAACAGTGTTGCGCTGCGTGCATCAACGCATTTCAACACAGATTCACTCCAGATGCCAAAAAGGAGAACAAAACACCTGCTGAGCCTCGGGTTTTTGCCTCATCGCCATGCGGCTGCTAAAGGCTTATAATTACAGCCTCAAATCATTTGATCGATTCCCCCCCCCTAGCCTGTTACAATGTGGAGACGATTTGTCCTTTCAGACCAGCATGTTCTCCAGAGCCTAACACATTCAAATAGCTCAACACGGATTAGAACCCCTATTGTGTCATGTGGGGGGTTATTGTTGACGCGGGAGGCTGGGAAACATATAGCGGAGATCCCAGTAATTACACACGAATTATAACCCTTCTCACGGGATCTGGGGTCAGACTCTGTATTTCAAGTTGCCAAGCTTTAGCCTATGTGTGCAATGTATAGAACAAGAGCTTTCATGGCTTTACAAAGTCAGAGTTTAAAGCCATCTGTGCCAAATGCTGATCCACAGATGTTCTCAGTCATGGTGAAGAAGTCCCGGCTGACGACTATATAAGCTGAAATAGTTTTAAAACCTCACTGTGCATCGAAACCCAAGGCGATGCTCCATTTAGCTCTCACTTCACGTTATGCATTTATTCAGGCATAAGAGCATTTTATGGGGTAAATCTGAACATATCTTCACATTTGGGTAACAACCTGCAGACAAACGAGGTGCAGATGCATATGACGCACAGATAGGATCCATGTTTGTTAATGAAGCACTATTAAGGCCAACTGCAATCCGAGAGAGAGAGAGAGAGAGAGAGAGAGAGAGAGAGAGAGAGAGAGAGGGATGTTTTGACTAAACTGAACTTCAGATAAGGGAGGCTTGGGCTGGATTTAAGTTGGAAAGCCTCATATGTAGTTGTCAAAATCAATTCACC